TGATTCTGCTTTTAACTGGTTTCGAATGCCAAAAACCACCCTGGGACTTTTTAATGAAGGCTATTCCATGAATAGAGGATGTTCTTGCCAAAGCTCTGCACCAGATAGCTGAGCAATCTTCGTTTCCTTTTTCCTCTGAAGTGGGACTCCCACACGCCACCACTGTAAACACAGAGCTTGCCTCCATAAACATGATTCCTGATGCTTAGCACGGCCAGGAGTCACACTCTGCTGTATTTGAAGTGCAGCAAGCTTCTCACATTTTGAGTAGCAGCCCTAAAAATAGCTGTTTATGGACAACACCAGATGGATATTAGGTATTACCACAGCCAATGGGCAATGATTATATTTCTTTGTAAAGAAGCTCAGCTTTTTATCATCCAATAGGGTTGGTGCCATTTAATTTGCTGCCCTAAGCTGTAATAGCTGCTTTTTCATAAATCAGAAGATGGATTAGTTAAAATCAATTTATTACAGAACACAGGACAGCATCAATAAAATTATCAAAATAAAGAAAACTGCTGTAAACATTTCTTTGGTGTTACTTTCTGTTGAACAAATATTGCTGAAGCATCCCTGTTCTGTTTGTAAAGATCTCTGTTGTAAAGATGTGTAAAACACATCTGAAAGCAGCTCTGCATGCAGTGTCTGTGTGTGGAGCAGCACACCCATCTGTGCACATGCACAGCTGACTCTGTCATTGCAGCATCATGACAGCATTAGCCTGGCTGCAGCAATTGACAGGGCAAGCATTCTGGTTTGTTATTTTTATGACTACCATAATTAGTGATTTCCTGTGGATTTCATCAGTGTTCGTAATTTTTTTTCTGAGCCCACATCATTCCCTCAGATGGTTAGCTTGCTTTCACAGCTCAGCTTTCCCTGCTGAAGCCAGCTGTGCTTTACAAATCACTCTCTCTTACATCTACAAGATACTAGGAAATGGGTAACTTTCATTGTATTTATTTGCTTTTATAAACAAAAAACTGGTTTTCTGTACGGACCACAAGGGCTATATAAACAAACTGCATTTGGAACTGTTTTAGAACTCTAAAAATGCTTCAAGTTTTTCCAGTTTGAAAATAATACCTCCAGCATTTGGTTATTTCATATCTGAAAATGGATACATCACGTATTCATTTCTATTCGCCAATCTAATGTTTTAAATATTTTCATATTCAAGGCAATGTCTTGGAAGACTTTACTGGTGCATTTGCCTTAGAAATTCCACAAGCACATGCTGCCATGATTATTTTCACTACTTTTGACCCTGATGTTGCATAGCAAAGGCCCTCATTTAGGATCTGCAAGATCTACAACAAATGTCTGCAAAAAGAGGAAGTAATATCTCTATAGACAAAATATAGAAATGCTTTTCCTTTTTTTTTTCTTTTTTTCTGTTCGTTGTCTCTTTTCTCTCTCACTGTCTCAACTCAACTTCTCCCATAAGGGAACTGAAAAAAAAGTTAGGAGTTCAGGTTTGGTTTGGATAAAATCCTGAAGTGTGGGTATGTCTACCAATTACCTCATCGTCTTGGTTTGAGCCCTTAGCTGAACTTTGTCCCAAAATCTACCTCCCAACAAACCAGTGAAAAGTTTAGTATAGACTTAAAAAATGTAGAATCAAAATTTACCTTGGTATAAACATACATTTTTGCCATATTTTTTTTTAATTAAACACAAGGAATATTTGTATTTGAAATTCTAGGTAATTGAGTTTTGGAATTTACTTACCCCCCCTAGTTTAAGGAATGACCTTATAGATCCTTTCATTTGCTGGATGGGTAGCTTCATTTATATCATGTGTATAATTCTACTGTATCAGCTCCAAAATAAAGTTATTTTCCTAAATAAGTGTTTAAGGTAAACCTAACACATTTCACACTTTCCACTTATTAAAGCTTTGCCTAAGAAGCCATCAGCCCATGGAAACAGGGTCTCCTTAACCTGAATCACCAAGCAGGTTGCTTCCACAGCCTGATAAAGACTGCTGCAAGCCCCAGGAAGAGGAGCAGTGGATGAATTAACCGGGATGAACAGCAGCTGCTCACGCCCACAAGATGCACCTGCAGGGCCCTGTGCTCCTCCGTGGCCATCAGCCCCACCACCCCTTCCCTCTGGGCTGGAGGAGCTGCCTGTGGATTGCTGAGCCTGCAGCAGCCCAGGCTGCTGGGCACTGGAAATCTCAGACTGTTTCTGCTGCCTTACTGCTGTCGGCAAATCAGCCGTAGCTGAGGCTCAAAATTACAGAATCATAGAGTGGCTTGGGTTCAGGGGACCTTAAAGATCATCTGGTTCCCACCCCCTGCTGTGGGCAGAGACACCTTCCACTCGACTGGGTTGCTTGGAGCCCCATCCAGCCTTTTGGATTGGAAATGACCTTTTGTTATGTGGATTCAAACCACAGCAAACCACGCTTCCTCTGCTCTCCCTGCCAGTCGGGAGAGGCAAGCATTAAAACTGTATTTGTCATGGTGGAAGGTGCAGGAGTTCCCCCTTGGGAGGAAACTGGCATGCATGAAACTTGCATGAAACCTGCATTAAATCTGCATGAAACCTGCATTAAACCTGCATTAAACCCGCATGGAACCCGCATTAAACCTGCTTGGAACCCACATTAAACCCGCATCAAACCTGCATCAAACCTGCATTAAACCCTCATGAAACCCACATTAAACCTGCATCAAACCTGCATTAAAACCCTCATTAAACCCTCATGAAACCCACATTAAACCTGCATCAAACCCGCATTAAACCCATATTAAACCCGCATTAAATCTGCTTGGAACCCACATTAAACCTGCATTAAACCCACATTAAACCCTCATGAAACCCACATTAAACCCACATCAAACCCGCAGCGCCTGCTTGGAACCCACATTAAACCTGCATTAAACCCCCATTAAACCCACATCAAACCCGCAGCGCTGGGCAGTGCATTTCTCCAGAGCTGATAGCCAAGGCAATGACGGAGCCCGAGGTCTCAGCTTGCCAGGGCGGTTTGGCTGAAATGCTGACATGCTGGAGGGTCAGCATAAGGAAAAGGCTTTGCCAGAGGTGCCTGCATCGACTGTGCATCGGGACTTCAGTAGATGGCACTGTCACACCAGCTGTCACTTCCTGGGCACAGGAAGGGACGATGTACAGAGCATACTGTCACAGATTGCCTATCCTTTTCTTCAATTAAACTACCCTTTTTCCTCCCCTCTAGATGATATCTGATTACATCTACTTGATTTTTCAGAGTAATATGCCAACTATTTAAAATGTATGTAATAGAACAGCTGACCACTGAGAAATTTGTTGACATATTTTCTATCAGGGGGTACGGAGCAGGACTAAACAACACATTTTTTCCTTTATAAATCCCTGGAAAAACAAAATGTCCATCACTTCTGATTTTTTTTTTTTAAGTTTGCATATTTAAATAGTTATGTAATTCTGTTTTCAGCTGTGAAGCATTCTGATCTCTGTTACATGGACTCTTTTTTGCTGTTGTTGTTCCCTCAGTCTTCTTTGTAGACATAGAACTTCATGGGGTGGTTATGAGAGGGGACATCTCCACTCCAAATTTTAAAAGTAATGCTCTTAAAAAATCCCGTTTGATCTCTCTACACATCTGGTCCAGCACTTACATTTTTATGTGTGTTTCTCATGTAGGTGATATTAACACTGCCTTAATCTGACTTTACACTTGCCCAATTTGTAGTGTATCAAATAATTGTAACCCTCGGAGCAACCACAATCCCTTAGGGAGAAGCAGTGTTAGCTAGTCCTGACTCATATTCTTGTCAGATTTCTCCTGTAGCTATAGTATTTATTTTCTTTTCTGCTAAATTGTATGAGAACCCTGGCACATCACCCAGAAATTCTGTCCAGCATCTGGATTGTATAGTCAACCACAGGAAATCTCATGGAGGGGCAACAGATTTTTGTTCTGCTGTGTAGTTCTGCTGGGATCACCATCATCTTGGTAGTGGGATTTAGACTAATTGCCTGTGACTTGATCTCTGACATGCTGGGGCTTTTGTCTAAAAATCTGTCAACCATGATGATTTTTCTTGGTAATCAAAAGATTGCCCATTTCTTTCTGTTAACCAGACCAGTGATTCAGCTGTGAATTTGGAACAATTTCCTAACAAAGCGCTGTGTGGACTTTCACGACCAAAAAAAAAAAAAACAAAAAAAACCAAAAACCAAAGGCACCAATTTAAATTAACTCTCTGTGTTCCCATATATGAAAACAATTGGACACAGCCACATTCTGAGTATCAGCTAGAAGGATCTGTAGTAAAGCTATCACCACCAGAGATGTCATCTGTATGCTGGGTGGCAGATCCACCAGCTTTTCTAGGAAACCTGTGAAATCTGGGTCAACAATCTGCAAATCACAAATCACTCCATTTCTCCAACATCACCCTTACTTGCAAATCTCTAGTTTCTAGGATGAGGCTTTCCAGTACAAGGCTGACAAGCAGCAAAGTGATTACTCCTGTTGCTTCCCTCCATCACTTCTTTTTTTCCCCTTTTATTTTGTTTTGAGATTAAGCCTGAATTTTAAGAAATATGTAAAAGTCAGAGACTTTAAATATCGTATCTGTGATACAGAATAATCAGATGTTTTCTACAACATCCTAGAGCAAGGATGTCAAATCACCTAAAAAAGAGAACAAGAGCTCAGAAACTTGTATCTTTGGTTTATTAATTTAAATTGGTGCGCTGCAAAATACCACCTTACCACAGATTTTGCTGTGTTCTTAGTTGATAAGTACAGAAATTAAAACGCCTGAAGAGTGGGGTTTCATTTTAGCAAGGGTTGTTGTTTTAGGCCTAAAAAAGATCATAACAAGAACTTGTAAATCAATGAATTAAACCCCTTCTCAGTTCTGTAGGTCCTTGCTATCACACGCTTCAGGAATGCTCGCTCCGAGCTTCCATCGGCCCCCAGCGCTGCTCCCGGCCGGCTCCCAGCGGGACAGCGCCGCAGAGCGCTCCCTCATCCCGGCGCCCGCAGCTCCCGCCGGTGCCCGAAGGCCGAGAGATCACGAGCTGCCCCTCGGAACACAAAACCAGCTTTCAGGGGAAAGCCGCAGGCTCCGGCTTTTCCCACGGTGGGAATCACGAGTGCCTGCCCGCCCTCGCTGCCCGGCGGCCGGGGGAGGAGGCAGCGGGAGGGGGCCGGGCGCGGGCAGCCCTGGCACTGCTGAGGGGCCGCGGGCCGGCCTCGGAGGGAGCGCCACACGCACTGCCAGGGCTGGGCTCCGGCAGCCAGCGCCGCTCCTGCCGCCGCCTCCTCCCTCCGTGCCTCCTCCTGCTTTCTCCTGCCTCCTCCTGCCTCCCTCCTTGCCTCATCCTGCCGCCTCCTGCCTCCTCCGTGCCGCCCCCGCCCCAGCCGGCCCAGCCGCGTTTGTCTCCTGTGCTGCCGCGGCACTGGGCGCGGCGCGGGGAAGGGATGGCGGGGGTCGCTGCCCGGCTGCTCGGGGCGCTGTGCCTCGCCGCCTGCCTGCCCCCGGCGCTCGGGAGGGACGCCGGAGCGCAGTGGACCCTGGAGAAGGTGGGTGGCGTTTGCCTTTCCCAGGCGCTTCTTGCTTCTCCTTTGGGGCTGGGGGCAGCGCCTTCCCGGCGGGCAGGGGTCAGGGGTCCATCCTGCCCTGGTGGATGAATCCAAGGTGGATTCGGGCCGGGCTCACCCTCAGCGCGGTCCCGCAGGTGAGGGTGGGGGCACGGCTTCCCTCCTGAGCCCGAGCTCGGTGCCTGCAGAGAGCGGATCTTCCTCACACGTTTGGCTGTGTCATCTCGCACCCCCTGAGAGCGATAAGCTTTGTCAGGGGCAGGTACTGAATTTAAGGGGAAACCCAAACAAGGCAAGACGGATCAAAATCTGAAATTGCATTCCTTATAACATTCTACTATACTCCAACTTTGATTGTAGTGATGGTGAGTGAGAGGACAGTGACTTAGCTTGAGAAGACAAATACCTCTTTCAGCAGCAATGCACATGTATCTAGGAAAAACAAGTAGGCATGGTGCTGATAGCCGGTACAAAATTGTTTTGAAAAGATATAATGCTCTGATATGTTGTAGACTCATACCGTATGTGTGTAATTTAGACTGCTGTGTGAACTACTGAAAAAAGGAATCTTGAGATAAGGTTTAATTAAACAGTGGTAAGATTTAAACCACAGATTTCTCAATGTAGCAGCTCTTAGTGTTTTATTATGAAACATTAACATAGTTTTCTTCATAAAGAATTAAACCACATGAAATGCAGGAGAGCATAAAACTGCAAACCACATTCAACTAAACCCTTCAGGAATTTCCAAACAGAAAATATACTTTTAGGGCCCTTCCCCAAGTGTTTGTAGAAGAGCTGAAGTCAAAGTTCAGAAAGAAGCAGCTGAATTCCACAAATGCAGTTCACCATTCTCATCACCAATAGATCAGAGTCCAGGACAAGCTGGTAAAATGAAGCTTCCCTCACACCCTTCTATGCCTCCCCATAGTAATTCCCTTTCTCCTTGATTTTATTCATCCCCCCCATTCAAGGAAATGTTGGCTTGTTTCTTTGTTCGTTAATGAGATACTGTTTCGTTCTGTTCTATTAATTGCATCTTACACTACATACATATATATGTGTATAGCTCACTATATAATATATATAGCTCATGTATAGACTATATATGTGTAACACAATACATCTGTAATTATGCACAATACATGCATTTGTACACACATAGTATATACATGTGGGGCTGAATCTTTAGTCACACTGGTCAATGAACAATCAGGTAGCCCCAGTCTCCCTTTTGCAGCCCCCCTGAGCCCAGCACTTCACTCTTAGCTGGTTCCCCTCTGAGCAGGCAGGCTCCTGGGCAGCGCTGTCAGTAGTGACACCCAGCCACAGAGCCATCGCACCTGAGCTCCTCTGCCTGTGCACTCACTAGGCAAGGACAACTTCCTCTTCCTCATCCAATTCTTGTCCTTCGACAACTTTTGTTCTTTCTCCCTGGAGGGACATGTGAACTAGAAATTCAAAGTCCTCAGGTAAGCCTGGGCTGCTTGTAGAACTCGAAGTTTTGCAGTTTTATACAGCTTAGTACCAGGATTAGTGACAAGCCTCTGATAAATATACTGTTCTGCCTCCCTGTTGTGGCAAAATAGGGATTGACCAACACCGTAAAGAATGAGTCACTTACAGATCTTATTTTGCTTCTCTTTTATTTCATAACCACTTTTGTAACTCCTCTCACTTCCCAAATCTGAAGATATCTCCATTACTAGAAGTGGAAGTTGATTCCTCTCTTCTGAAGTATTTTCATGCATTTGTACTTTAATAATGTTTCTTTACCAAGTGATTTGATGACCCCAGTTACCAGGCATGCTCTTCTCTTGTTCAACTGCAGATTTTCTGAACTTCCTTAATTAAACTGTCCTCCTACACTCTTCCAAAGTACATAGCTTTAGCTTTTCACTCTCCCCTTACAGCCTGCTCCTCCTAAATCGAACAGCTCCCTAACATTTTCTCTTCTCTGTGCCTTTTTAAAAAGGTGGTCTAAGTTCCACCTTATTACACTTCTAGTATTTCAAAAGAGTGTTTTACAACATCCATGGCATAATTTCCAAACTTTCAAAAGTTCATCTTTATATCAGATGAAATTATTTAATTTTTCTTTTTTCTTTAATCTATGTCTAAATTTCCTAGTATTAAAAATGTTAACTGCCCATCCTAATTTTTGTGTCCTTACAGTCTTAAAATTCAGCTTTAAACACTGTATTAAAATTGGCACAACTAGATTCAGTGTCTTTCTGTCAGCCCTCTGCCTAATTTCACTGCTAAACCTAAGTGGAATTAGAGGAAAGGTTCACATGGAGATAAACAGCTAGGAAACAAGAGAAGGGTAGAATTAAATGTTTGCGGTGAAGTCTAGAAAATACTCATGCTCGTACTTGCTTGTACAAACACAAATGAAGTAGAAAAAAGTCAAATAGTCAGGCAACTCCCATTTTTAAACAATATTCATCACCTAAGGTAATAAGATAACTGGTAAGAAGATACCTGACTTTTGAGGTCAGTTCACATTCTGGCCAGGTAATGGGTTTTAGCTGTTATTTCAGACACATGTGAAATGACACACACGAGTAGAAAAGGAGAGTGAATTATTTCTTGTTAACACATGTTAACATAGGGTTAGACTACAGATATTTATGAAAATGTCAGTTTGATGCAGGAGCAGCCCAAAAGCAAGTCACCTGTTACACAGTCTGAAGAAAGAAAAATAATAAAATAAAAAATACCATTGTCCTACACTATAAACTATGATGTGCCCATGTTCCAGTTTCTCTTTTTGCTCATCTCAGAAAGAACAACATAGACAAGGTACATGGAAGGACAGCAAGTCTGATTAGTCATGTCAGGCAGTTCTGATCAAAGAAGAAATAAACAAAGCAGTATTTTTCCTTAGGAGAAAGACAGGAGTAGAGGGAAGACCTTGTGATATAAATGAGGAATCTGTAAAAACAGTAGTGGCACAGGAAGTTTCTGAGGAGACAATTGCTAGAGATTGGATAGGTTCAAACCTGGTGTATAAAGAGGCATTTGAGATGCCCTTGGGAAGCCCACCTGGCATTCAGCCACCACTCCAGATCTCTGTGGAGTTCTTGCACATCTAAGATGTGCATTTGGCAGCTCCATGAGGATGTCTCAAGCATTTTGGGTCACCTGATATAGCCCCAAATGCCTGTGCTTGGGCAACAGAAAGGAAGTCACTTGGGAGGAAGGGAGGTAGGTCGAATATTAGTGGCTGTCACAGGAGACGAGCTGTCGGATCTGAGGTTAACCCATGTGTCACCAAGCTGGCAAGTGTCCCAGCTAGCCCCAGAAAAGCCACATTCTGTGCAGTCACACTCATTCTGCCACTGTGGCTAGAGACCACAATGACACAGCTCACTCCCTCTGGGAGTGAGTTACCTTAGGCATCTCTTTGCAGTACACAGCATAAAGCTAAATATTATTACTACTGGAAACAAAGCTTCTGGTGTTTGTCTCAATAGAAACCTCAGTTGAAGGTGGCGTGGTTGCAGACATGACATGTATAATTAGGATATTAGGAAACACAGAACCCATTCATAGGTTCAGGTTTTACAGCTAGCTGGCAGGTAAAACTTTCCCCCATACTTTAAATACAAGCATATTTTGCATGGAAATGAAAGATAGAGAAGCCAATCATTTCTGAGTGAAAAGGGTTTTTTAATTATGTTTTGTTGGGAATAAATCAAAGTAGCACAATATACCATTTTTATTGTAATTCTGAAAAAAGCTATGCTTAAAAATGTCTAGTAATAGTTATAGCATTTTCTTCTCTCTACCTTCTGCAGTATTCTCACCAACCAAGAATTTTAGGTTCTGATGCTATTGAAAAAGTTGTGGCCAACACAGATATTTCTGAAATGTGGGAGAATGATTTGCGCCCTATCCTGATTGAAAGATACCCAGGATCAGAAGGAAGTTACATCGTGCGACAGGTAAGACAACACTTCCTGACAATCTCTAAGTACATTTTTACTATATATTATTATTACAATTATTAGAATTTATATTCTGGTAACACCTTTGCTGACCCCCGCCAAAGAGACAGTCCCACAGAAGTGACGGGCACATTCCTTTAACGCAGTAGGATGAACTCTACAATTGTTCAAGTGTAGACTGCATAGTGCCTACATGACACAGCTTGCACATCAGCTGACATTACTTCCCAGGCCTGCACAGCATGATGAAAAATAAGTATTTTTTTTTTAAAACCCATGTTTTAAATTAACAAGTTTGCCCCAGGTTTGGTACCCAAAGTACAACACAATGGTTGTCCTCTCCCTCACATGAGCAGGTTTTTGGTCACTGGTTCAAACCCAAGACCATGCATGGGATTAAATAAATTACACCCTACCACTTGTTCTGGAGAGGCCCCGTCCTGTGCTGTTACAGTGCCCTGGAGTGTTGCTTCAGATGGGTGTATCAACACAAAAGGTGATCAGAGGGGCCCAAAGGGGCAGGCAGATGAAATGGTCAGCACGACAAAGTGCAGCCCTGGTCCACAAACCACACCAGGTCCACTGGCCCAAGCCCAGCAGTGTCCTGGTGCTGGACTGACAAACCCAGGCTGCAGCTGGCCCCAAGGCAGTAAAGACTTTGAGCCACAAGAAGTTACCACACAAGAGGGGTGCAGCTCTGTCAGCACCTCTGCTCTGCACTCACAGCATGAGCACCTTCAGAGCAGGGTCCGTGCTGGCTCTGGACCCCATTGGCCAAGCAGGGCACAGACAATGGTACAGCTGAGTTTACTAAAGACATTCTCATCATCTCACCAGTTGGGCACTGCCTCAACAGCTCTAAGACAGCCCCAGCTACAATACATTTATTTGCTACTCTGCAATTGGTAGATTGGAAAAATGCAGCCTTTTTATGCAGTGAGTGTGTGTGTGTGTGCACATTTCTGTAGATTTAGCTTTGTGGTTTCTTTAGCAGTGCTCTGGAAGGCAGCCAAGTGAAAGGGGGAAAAGGAAGAAAAACAAAAAAGCAGCTGAGCCTAGGCTAGAAAACCACAGATTATGTTCAAAATAGTATCATCCTGTTACAAGGTAACAACATGTATTAAATTAGACCCCTCACCAAAGGAAAAAAATAAGAGTCCTCTATTGTCAAAACACAATAATGGAGTTTTTGTCTTTGTTGAGACACAAAATCATCAGACTCCTTTAAGGGAAAAAGGCTACTGGGACCTCCATCCAGGTTTATATGGTCCCCTCAATCCTTAACAGACAACCTTCACTCTGCCTACTGATAGCTGATAGACCATACCATGTTGTGAAAGCGTTCAGAGGGTGATCGTGAACAAAATGGAAGTTTGCTCTAGCACTAAAATCTATGGCAATATTGTTTTTTTTATCATTCCTACTGACTTCCCTAAGAGCAGAACAAGTCTTCAAAGTCTGTTTTCCCCTCAGAGGCTTTTCCTAATGTTTACTTAAAGAGAGAGGAATCTGCCTTGAAGAAGCCCTCTAGGGACCCATAAAAATAAGTTGCTTAACAGAGAAACAGAGATGTCCCTCTAATATGAGTTAACCAGAACTCTGGTTGAAGTATAGCTGGGGTTGTTAGAGGTATTATCTTCTGGTAGGAAGATAGCTAAAATTAATTATTTGCCTTATAGATTGTCTCAATTCTTATATTTACATGATCTATACTGACAGAATTTCAATTTTAAAATGCTGTTCTGTAACGCTTCTTTCTTTAATTAAAGGAATCTACCTATCTGTTATTGCCTTGTAAACAATTTATATCACTTGAAAGGCAGATTTCTCACAGAAGCTTAAAAGCCCAACCACCTCACACCAACCAACCAACCAACCAACTAACCCAAACAGTTGGTTTTTTTTCCCTTATACTGCTGTGGCATCTCTGTGTGGTAATTGTCTAAACAGCCACAACAAGGAACAAGGTCTCTGCAGCCAATTCTGACTTTCAATTTAAGGGCACATCTGAGTTAAGTTTTGAAGATATTAACATTCAATCTGCTCTTGTTACACCTGAAAAAGACACTGGCCTGAAAACTTCAGAGATCAAGATCTTAATGTGTCATAATAATTGGCAATAATTCAAAACACCTTCACACTCCAAAGAGAAAGGTCAAAAGGAAGAAATGAAAAGCAAATGAGGCAGTCAAAGGCTGAGGTAGCAAAGTTATAAAGTGATATTACATGTTTTGCTATAAGGTTTATCCTTTAAAACACCATGAACTTAGAGAAATAAGCTTAGGAGCCACTACTAATTAGCTAATAATAGTTTGTCTGCAACATCTTTCTGAAGCAAGAAATATTTATCTGATTGTTTTTTATAATTGCAGCATATCAAGCACCGTCTTCAAACATTAAAGGCTGGTTGGGAAATTGAAGAAGATACATTTCAGAAGTACACACCATATGGCTATAAAACATTTTCAAATATTATTGGCACTCTTGAGCCCTCTGCAAAACGCCATCTCGTACTTGCTTGCCACTACGACTCAAAATTCTTTGGACAACAATGGCATGGCAGAGTTTTTGTGGGAGCAACTGATTCAGCTGTGCCTTGTGCCATGATGTTGGAGCTGGCACGGGCCCTGGATAACCAGCTTCAGTTAATCAAGGTACTTTTGTTTCATTTTCATTTGCCTTTCCAACAGCAACAGGCCTCAGGGCATTTCCACATTCTTTTCCGTAGCCTGCATGCTGGGTTCCCTGATTGCTGTGCTTGTAATAAATGTCCCATTGACTCCAAGAACAAGCAGAGATCAGTATCTACTTCTCTAAAGTACATTCTATAGATAACTTTTATAGATATCTGTCCTTTTTGTAAGAAATTTTAATGTGATAAACATATAACATATAAAAATAACAAATGATACATGAATAATAGATGTTTCATAGACTTGGAAAGATATTATGCTACTTTCTATCTAAAAGGCACAGAACCTGATTCAGAAGTTCCTATCATATCCAGTAACATCTAGGGTCATTGAAAAGTTTTGTTGCATTCTGAATCCTGCAGAAATCTCTCAATTGTATTCTGCTTTGAGACACTATTGTGCAGGAGGAGTCACATGCAGGTTCCCCCATCCCACAAGGATTTCAAGTTTTTCTTTTTTTACAAATTTGAATGGTTTATTTATGTCATCAGTCTGTGTTACCTGTACTATGAAAATCTGTTTCAAAGGGCTGCAATTGCTAGGCACAAAAATCTGTTGAGCCTACAAACTCTTAAAGCTTGTAGGATTACAGATTTGTAGGATTATGGATTCACGAGTGCCATCTACTGGTTCAGTATTCAGTATGTACAGAAAAATAATTCTCATACGTTTACAGGAAAAGGTCTCTCAAATATGAGAAACACTCTATAAAGTGTCAGGAGTACACTCAGCTCAGGTATTAGGATTACTTGTCAACAGGTATTTCCAGAAACTGATTTGGTGCCTTCTAATATGTGAATATTTAAGAATGAGAAGATTAAGACTATGCCAATATTTTTAATCACAAAACAAAAAAAGTCCTGTAATACATAGGCTTTCATTCAGAAACTTAATTTACTAAGACTATGCCAATATTTTTAATCACAAAACAAAAAAAGTCCTGTAGGCTTTCATTCAGAAACTTCATTTATAATAAATTTGCCTGGTGACTATTTATGAAACAACGTGCACAGTGACTTTAAAGACTGGCATTTTTCACTATGAATACACTATTTTACAGTGAAAATTGTTTTTTATCATCTAAGATGGCAGCATTTGACAAAAAGGCAACTAATTACTTTTCACAGGCTTCCACATTTACAGTCTGTTAACAAAATATACTTTGGGATCCATCTGCTTAATACATTAGTTATGATGGTTTTGCTCTGCTTATGGTAGCACAACAGACTTTGCTATGTTTTCAGCCAAATCTATTTATATTTTGACTTGAAGCTGTGATTTCTATTTTGATGCTTCTCCAGTCATAACTTACTTCCCCAGAGTAAGTTTAAAATTATTGGGCAAAGACATTTCTCTGCATTATTAAAATGTGTTAAGCAGTAATAGTAGTAATAACACAAGTACTACTTTCTAAAACTCAAATAGCACTGATTCCGTTTCCTCCAGAATGTAATGCAAAATGACTGCTGCCCACAGAGCTCTGTCATGTGCAAAGGAAAAAGGGCAGCAAACCATTGCCATTAGAGAAATCAATATAGCACTGTGAGCACAATCAATACCATCTTGTCTGCATAACCGACATTTTATAGAAGCTTCTGTTTATAGTGCATCAGCTGCAGCTATTTGGGAGTTGTAGCCCATACAGGACATGACTGCTGCCAGTGACCCCACCTTTTTAACCACATCATGCAATTTTACTTGAAGTAGTGTTAATTCATAGAGGGCTTAAAGTATTTATAGCAACTGTCAAGACTACAGTTCCCAAAACTGTTTATTTAGTGGAACTAGACTGGGATTTGCTGTGCTGTGGATTATTAGGAATTTCTGACAGTTCAAACAGGGCTTCAGATAGTAGACTCCCTCTACATTGGAAAAAAATTCATACAAATGTCTTTTTTTGTGACATTAAATACATTTATCATATATATCCTCAGGTCTTAAAATACATTTATCATATATATTCTCAGGTCTTAGTGCTGTTATATTTCAGTTGTTGAAAGGGAAAGACATATCTGACATACCCACTCTCTTTGCTTTGGTTTCGCACAAAGTTGCCTCCATGATTAGAAATTCCCCTGAATGAAAAGAAGGGGCTCAAAGAACCATCAACTTGTCAAATACATAATTCACCTCCACTGATGCACAGCTGTAGCAATTATATTAATCCTTGTGATGCAATCAAATAATAATATTAGCACTCCCATCAGGTGTTGTTACTGACACGTCTCCTCATTATTTGAGATAATGCTGCTGCTACCCGGTTTTGCAGGTCTCAATACTCAGGTCATGTCCTCCAAAGTCAGAAATGAAACTTTTATCCAGAACCAAAATTATATGAGACCAGAGAATGTATCACTGTGTTAGATAAATAACAACTACCTTGACTGATTACACTGTAATAACATCCAAAGGAAGGTTTGCATAGGGAACCTTGAAAATACATCCTTATTTGTGTTACTTACATGACTACAGTATTTGCCCTTTATTTAATGTTCTGGCCAGATTCAGTTATTTTGACTTTTAACTTCCTCCAACAGGCCAGCCCAACATCAAGACCAGACCTTTCACTTCAGCTCATTTTTTTTGATGGTGAAGAAGCCTTTGTTCGGTGGTCCCCTTCTGATTCCCTCTATGGATCTCAACACTTAGCTCAAAAAATGGTATCGACTCCACACCCACCTGGTTCAACAACCACAAACCAGCTGCAGGGCATAGTAAGTGGCTCTTCCCTTTTTAAGGACTTTCCTCCTTAAGGAACAATAGTAAATGGCATTTTTAAAAATATTTAATTAGTAGGTAACTGGTCAAATTCCCAAGAAACCACGACCCCACTGAAGTCAAAGGAAGAAGCATTTCTGGAAACATTATGAAATATGACAGAGAATTGGCAAGAGCTTTTCAGCTACATGCAAGTACAAGGAGGAGTCATAGAAATATCACAATACACAATTTATTAGCATATAAACTAGGATACCCACCTTCTTCAAGAAAAGATAATTCAAAGTGGTAGGGAAAGAGCACAAACAGCATTGGCCTATGAACAAATCTCCCCTAGCTCAGTACTCAGCTACAGCAACTTCTGTTTTCCTCTGATTCCTACTGATTCCTACATTCTGGATGTCTGCTCCCTTCTACTTTCCCTGTTTACTGCTGAGGCACTTCTCTTCTGTCACTGCTGCTTGTGACTCATAAAATGTCTTTCCCTTGACAGACTTTGTTGTTCTCAGGGGAAAAAGCAATTTCCTCTTCTTTCTCCCCACCTACTGTTGTTTTTCTTTTAAAGAGATACAACGCAAATTGCAAGCTAAGCTATGCAGCCTGCTTCAGCTCCAGGAACAGAGGAATGGCCCAGCCTTTCCCTCCCTGGGAAGACAGCAAAATGTATCAGATTGGGATCAAGTTCTGCTAACGAATTCTTGTCAGGCCCCACGGCAGAAAGGCAGATCTTTGGCCAGGGCTAGCAAAGACCTGCTCATGACCTATACAGGAAACCAAGAGTTTCATTGCTGCTGCTGATGTTATAGGAAAGCATTCTGTACTAAAGATTCTTTCTTGTCTAGGACCTGTTTGTACTACTGGATTTAATTGGTGCACCAAACCCAGTCTTTCCCAATTATTTTCCAAAGACTCTTCGATGGTTTCAGAGGCTTCAAGCAATTGGTAAGCAGAAGGATATGGGTTTTGAATGAATTTCAAAATCTAGTGAGTGGTTTCTGAATGTATTAAGTCCTGTGAATCAGATTTTTAGATTAATTTTCTGGTTTACAGTAATAATCTTTGATAATGTAAATGTGAAATCTTAAACCTATATGAAGATTTTGATTCTTAGTTAATAAAACAACAGAGGAAGACTCTCAAACATTTGGAAGCAACAAAACAGATTCTATTACTGATTGTCACTCTGTGACACTTGGCAACTACTTCACTTCTGTGTTTTTATTCTCACTTCTGTAAAATTATGGTAATAGCACCAATCCTGAGGTCTTCCAAGTATTAAACAAATGCAAAAGACAGTCACCACTGCCTTTTCCTTCTCTGATGGAAAAATCTTCCGTGTGTGAGGAATAATAATTCAAACGTGCTAACATGCTTCATTGTCTAAAAATTGTAATAACCACTTCCATTGTGCATTACAGAGCAAAAGCTACAGAACATGAATCTGCTGAAGAATCACCCTGTTGGAAGTCAGTATTTCCACAGTACTTTACATCGAGGCTTGGTTGAAGATGATCATGTTCCATTTTTGCGACGAGGTGCTAAAAATTCTTAAAATTTGTACATGTTTACAAAGAAATGCATAATTTAGTAAATGAGCAAGTGCATATGCTCCTGTTTTTCAAGCTTATTTGCCCCAATTTGAGACTTCTGAATCCAACTTTAGAACTTTGACTTAAAACCTAATGAAAAAAAATTGATTGCTTAGTGGTATGCAGCTGAAAAATCAGAGAGAAAACGAAGTAAAACAGGAAAGAGGCTGAAAAAATAAAAGTACTCCTCCCCAAAAGCAATCGGGAAGCAGAAGACTGATTTAATTCCTCTTTTGCCTACAAGTTGCAGTACATATGAATGTGTATACATACCTTATATATATATACACACACACACACACACACATATATGCTGGGATACAGTTCCTTTATCTAAGGGCAACCCTGTCTCTATTTTACAGAGTAAAAAAAAGACACCCTATTTTACCATTTATGTAGAAAACTAAAAAAATGCTTCAAAAACGTTCAGTCTTAACACTTTCACAAAAACATGGTAATCAGTTTTCATTTTGAGGAGCTGCAGTGATTTCTCTGTCCTTCTGTAGCTCCTAAAGACAATGCAAAGAATCTCAAAACAAAACAAACCAACCCAAAACTCCCAGCAAGTAGCTACAGATTACTTAAAAAAAAAAAAAAGAAAAAAAAAGAAAAATATTTAAAGGAAAGGAAGGTGGCAGCTTTACACAACACACTTTAATGATGGGATGCAGTCACAAGCATCAAAACAAGAGAAGGCAAAAGGAAGCAGCAGGGACACACCCTCTAAAGCAAGCTCATTGAGTAGTTACCTGACTCTCTTGCTAAATGGTGAAGTATCAGTTGACTTAACAGAACTTCTAAAATATTTCTTCTCCAAATTTCACTTTCCTTTTTATAGGGGTTCCAGTCCTGCATCTGATTCCATCCCCTTTTCCTGCAGTATGGCATACCATGATGGACACAGAAGAAAACCTTGACAAAGCCACTATCGACAATCTCAACAAAATCCTGCAAGTGTTTGTACTGGAATATCTCAACCTATGAAAGACAAAATATCAACAAACTGTACACCATTCACACTACTGTTTGCCCACCTTCACACTTGTTATTTAATTGCATTGGAGAGTACCAAGGTGAAGAAAAATGTGACAGCTCTTGCTAGACTGATTATTGATTGAGCTATTCATGGCCCATTGATCCAGTAGCCAAATAAGATACCATTAAATAAGACTTAGCTCAGCCTGGAAAGAATTTGATCTTTCCATGTTTTGTGTCTGAATAAAAAAACTCCAGAATCTTTCCAGATTGTTATCATTGTTTTTTGTCACGTATTATGATCCCAGAAGGAAATGCCTCATGACTTAATTACATGATACCCTTTTTACAAGGTGTGACCAACTTTTGCAGTGTTCAGCTATGGAAATTTATGCCATGTTATCAAAAGAGGCAAAAATCACACCATAGTAGCCTTCTACTTTGGGCTGAACTAAACCACCTCATGCTCCAATGGGTTGCTAGAACTCCTGACACACAGATGTGATTTTTAATCCTCTCTGGTCCCTCTCCTCCTTCCCTACAAAGGTGGCTGCAAGGGTTTTTCTCTGCAGACAGCTGACGCCCAGAAAACAGAACAATAACCCAAATTCCGTTTTGCCCCTGTCACTTGTTGGATACTGTTTGACAGAGAAGGGTGGTGGGAAGTGATGCTAACAGGAAGGTATGTGGGGGTTTCCCTGTGCTCTGACTGCAACACAGGCGATATAAACAAAAGATCAGGTGGTGTGTGGGAGCAATGACCCAGTACACACCATTCAGTCACGTGAGAATCATTCACAATTTGACCCAAAAAAACCTCCAAACCACCACCCACCTGCTGTTTTTAATACAGACTACAACAAAAATAATCATATGAGCAAAGTGTTCACTTTAGAAACTACAGTTTATCTAAATACAGTTTTAAAGGCAAAGTGCTATCAAAAGTAAAATGTTATTAAAAGCAAGACAACAGTTTAGGCACCAAAAGATAGCAATTTAACAACCCTGTGCTTGTACATTCCTTACTGGAATTATTCAATAGCTTTAGTGTAACACTGGCAAAAAGAAAGCCTGGAATGAGATTAATGAAAGCCAGAAGAACAATATTCAAAAGCTACTCAGAGAATTATGGTTTCCACTGGTGAGAAAAGGATGAGAGCATTTTAAGGAAAAAAAAAATCAAGCTGATAGGAGTTGAACTGAGAGAAAAAAAGTCAGTATTTTACTGCTCCAAACTTCTTCCCTGCAAAGTTCTACCCTGAGCAAAGAGATTTAAAAAGGAGGTAAGCAATGGAGTTGTAGGCATGTCAGATTTGGCCTGTATTTTACCATTTTCCTAAAGCAAATATTTTGGAGCCTAAGACAATATTTACATCCATATTATAAAGTTGTTACAGAAATAGGTATTTACAGCAGTGAAAATCTGTAAAATTTTACTATTACAGGACGGCCTGAAAATTAAATTTAATCTGTTTTTAAATTTAATTCTGATTTGGTAGCTCAAGAGCAAAAGCATTTTATGCTGTTTGTCTTACCTGCAACTTCTGAAATAGAATACTATGAAAATTCTAAAAAATTAGACAGATGTCTTTATTTTCAGGTATTACTGTATATCTGTTTAAATATATCAAAGCTTCTTGAACTCTTTGCAATTATATTCTCTTCTACTTCAGCCCATGAGAAAATAGTCTAGAAAATTACATTAAATCTTCTGAAGTTTGAATATTTTGAGCAGTATAAAGCACCTTCATATCCTCCTAAGTGACAAAGAAAGGTAACAGGATGGCTAAATATAGAAATATTAAACATGAATTTGTGTGGCTGTTTTGTTTTGGTGAACTCTTGTGGTACTTCCTATTTTGCAAGACCTCTGAAAAATGCAGTACATGTTTGCAGTGTGGACTGCTACTCTGCTTCTTTGAGAATTTGAAAGTTAACTTAAAACATGCTTCATTGTGAAATATTGGCTCAGAGGGTTGTAATAGCTCAGAAAAGCCTGGGTTTTTTAAATCTCTATGAAGACTTAGCTGAAGCCATAATTTAACCATGTGGTACACCAAATCATGTCAATTTTGTCATTAAATTTTTACTGCCTGAGCATGCAGCTCTCAAGTTATGTTTACTCAGTCCAAGGAAATGAGATACAGTTTGCTGTAATATTATTCAATATTTATCAAAATGTGAAGAAAACATGGAAAGGCTTGGGTTTTTTTTTTTCCTTCCCTCCCTGGGTTTTGTGTTTGGGGTTTTTTTGGTACAGGAAAAAAAGGCCATCTCCTAACTGGATGCTAGCCCTGGAAAAGTTTACTTACAGAGGGAAGTGTCATCATCTTAGAAATTTATATGATCCATCATTCATTTTAAAAATAATTGCTGGAAGGAAAGCTTACCTCAACCCAGTAACCATGCGAATCCAAGAATCTAAGTTCTTAAAAGCACAAGAAATAGTCAGGAAGGCAGACATGGTACAAGGTGGGTTTTCATTGCTACTAAGGCAGGGGAGAACAAACAGGTAGGACAAAGTCAAAGCTATTTCATAAAATGCCCAGGGAACAAAAAATACAAGTGAAGAGGCCAGGACTGGTATCTCTTCTACTTTCAGTTTCAACACTGAATATGACTAACATCCACATCCACTGCGTCTGGCCAAGCACAGGACAGATAACCACTTCAGAATTCAGAGAGATGCTTGTTGTTGAAAAACTTCTGGCTGGATAGTTTCTCCTTCCCTGTTGGATGGTGGCAGCAAGGGTTAGAAATCAATAGAGGACTTCAGTTAATCTAATCAGTGGAATTGCTGCACAGCTTCTCACCTTGAAAAGGATTTGTTCCATCTCAGTCGAGGGGAAGGGAATAAAAATCACTCTACCAGCCACAAAAGGCTGTCCCTGGCTTTGTGTGCCAAAGGTGTCTGTGGTTACCACCTGGGTTAAGGGAATGCAGAAGAGAATGAACTCAAGAGCCATCACTCAACATGTAAAGCTGAAAAAAAACCCCATATGGTAGTTATTTGTCTTGTGATAGGTGCTCTGGCTCCTTCTGTATCAGGAAAAGGCAGTTTCTCACAGTAATCTGAAGCCAAATAATGGTACACGCCCCTCAAACTCTCTAAAGCTGGATGCATTTACCTACAAGTGATGCAATCCTGGGCGATCGCAGCTGGAACAACTCAAGGAAGTAACAATGCCAAATCCTCTGGCAGACAAATGACAGCAAGTACCAGTCTTCTTTTCCCTCTAGCTGAGACAGCATTCCTAGCATTAGGAATGAAGATGATATCAATTATAAATTCTTATTCACTATGTATCAAATAAACATTTAGATGGTGATCACCTAACAGCAAAACACAGGTAGAAAAGGCAAAATGTACAAAAAATCTCTTTCGATGGAATTATTCCAAGGACCCAGTCTACACTGGTAGTAGACCCAGCAAAACAGTTCTGAAGTTTGACATACCTGCTCATTGAGACTGAAGCATCACCCGAGAGCATCACTTAAACAATATATATAGAAAGATAACTGTAAAATCTTGTACACAAATTACCACTTTTTCCTTGTCAGTTACGAATTACACTCATTTTATTTTCCTCATATAAAAGGAGACATTTTACTCTGTGCTGATTTAACAAATGTTCTAATATATTCATAACAATAAAGCAGCTAAAAAGCTGTTCTAATATCTAAAAGAATCTTTATCACCTGCACATATGATATATATTGTAAACAATCACTCAAAAAAGTATTTTTGTTAAAGTGATTATATTGCACTCAGAATTCTGGGATTCTCACCCTCCCTTCTCATTTTAAATCAGAGATCAGCTTCATTTTTTAATAAAATGGAGATTTAATTTTCTACTGAAAACAAGTAAGCATGCATTCAATATAATACAATGTATTGAAAATATCAGAAAAAGGGCATGTGATTATGAAACTGGAGTAAGGAACAATTCTTAACCAGGCCACACAGGAGTAGTTTATTGTAAACATTCTGCTGGCTCTAAAGTGTTGCAGATGCTGTAGAAAGTGCAGTCTAGTTCAGCACCCAAGAGGTACAGAGAATCTGTTCCAGTGTTCTGTACTTCAGTGAATTTCCATGCAGCAATGGCACATGTAATAGACTCACAGAAAGACAGGATAATGGACCACAGGTGATTACTGAGTTAATACTGACCTCACAGAAACAGAGCCAATCGCTGTCATTTCATTGCAATCTTTAAATGGAAGTTTGCCAGGTCATTACATTTTCTAACAGAGTAATGAAATTTTTACTCTCACTGCAAATGAAGTACAGAACTAGATTCCCTACTTGTAATTTACATGGACAGCATCCCAGTGGCAGCCAGGGCACTACCCTCAGCCTGAAACATCCCCAAAAGATACATCTCCATCATGCAGAATGCCACCTTGCTTTTGCAAGAATGACTCCCTCCTCCAAACACTGGCTCAAGAAACACAGGTCACGGAGTGGGGAGAAAAATATTCTTACACAGAAAAAGAAAAACAAATCCTCAGCCAGTGAAGAGGCCACAGATCTTTAAAATCCAAATGAAGTCTGTTTTCTCCACTCAGACCCACATAAGATAGATTTCTCCATCAAAGCAATTATCTTCAGTTAACATAGTATCCTTGGAATCCCTGAGATACTACAGCTCCATGTAACCACCTCATGGAAGTGGAATGCATAATTTAGCACACAGATGAACAAGGTGGAAGCCAATATATAGCACCCTGAGTTGCAAGTGGAACAACAGAAATGGGAAACCCATTTCTAGACAGCCAAGAGATGCAGAAGAATGTGCAGAGGAGCAATTGTAATGTAGATACTACAACAGAAAAAAAAACTGAAGTATTTCTAAAAGGCCTGTCCCTGTTGTCAGAGCAGAGAAGGAAAAGACAGTGATGAGAGGGAAGAGCTTTCTGAGAAAGGCCCTGGAGAAATGCAGACACCTCAATGTACAGTAGGACAGTAATGCAAAAGCAGAGACAGGTTAAGTGGTCTTGCTCCAAGTGTGCCCCAAAAGTTAAGCACTCCAGCAGTGACTACAAACTCAGCGATCACTGATCTGTACTCTGGATATAAACCAGGAATATAAATTAATTACTTTTGCCCCTGGAACTACATTAAAAAAATACAAAGAGGAAAATACAAAGTCACAATCAAATCATAGAATACTCTCCATAGTCAAAAATGAAATACTGGCTTCAGAAACAACAGTCATCTGATGTGTATCCTCAACAGGGTTATTCGTAAAAAAGAGGTGCTTGTAAAATCTTAAGTTTTAAGTATTTTATTTCCCAGTATATTGCTAAATAATTTTGCAGTTAAACCAAAAAGTAAGAAATATCAGAGATGAGTATGGAATACTTACAACTAGAAAATGGTTGCTGAACCATCTGAATTTCTATAAAAGCATCAATAAAAATGTAAAAACACGCTCTTGCAAGATCAATTACAACCTGAAATGCCAGATTGTCTTCACAATGGCCACAACATGAATATTGATGGATTTTTGCAATCAAAAACTAATTGTGATTTGGCCCAAGCATGGCTTAGTACAACAATCAAACACGTCTGAAAATTTGGACTTGTATTTCTGCCATTTCCTATTCTCTGAGCTATTCAGCATCCAGTAATTCTCATTAGAATAAAAAAAAACAAACTACCTGGTGACAATTTTATTCTCTTACGGAGTTGTGCTGCATCTCAATACATTCTTGGATAAATGAAGAAAAGTGGATAAAAAAGATGAGTAGAAATAGACACCCTATAAAAACTACTTGTAAAGTATTGTAAATCTGCAAAATATCTGTGGCATTACACAGGCTACTGCTGATGCAAAGGAAGAAACTGCTATTTAACCACTTCATGAATATGAACAATGCACTTGTTCCCAGCCATTCAGAATGATGTGACATTCCAAATGTTCATAAAAATTGGGTAATAAAAGAATTAAGTCAATACCCTTAAGTATAATAAATAATGGTGTTTATTATGGTCGGGGCTGACCACGAGCGTTTGTTCCATATCTGCCTGGGACATTTGCAAAACCAGTTCTGAATCCTTGAGCTGCTCCAATTCCTGGTATTCCAAGTCCTTGATTGAGTGCACTGCTGTAGGGTGCAGATCCATGATTAAAGCCCAATCCATAGGGCTTTGTCTGAGTGTTTAGAAGGATGACTGGATTCACATTTTTGCCTGGTGTGTTGAAAGAAAATTCTGGTGGTGGGCTGCTGGGCTTAGCTGGAGTGGAGGTAACAGGGTTCAAATTGTCAGCAGCTTTCAAAGATGGCATTGGAATAACGTGATGATCCGAAAGGTTCAGAATATTGTTTGCAATAGGCACAGATGATAAGGTAGGTCTGATCCAGTCATCTTTGAAAATCTGAACAGTCAAGGTAGAGACCAATGTGTATAATCTGTTAGTGACATGGGCAAGTACCATTTGCTCATTTGCATCTCTCCGAATTCGGACATGGACTGATCCAGCCTAGAAAGTGATAAAAACAAGTTGGCTGTTAATTATTACCCCCATAAAGATTCTCCACATGCATTCAAGAAGAGGAAAATTATCCTGCAGAGAATTACACAAAGACTTTTTGCAGTGGAAACTACAGTCTAAATTAAGAACCTTATTATGGGATACATTTTGATCTTTCCTAATGTGTTGCTTTCTTACGAACATAGCAAGATGATCATTCAGGAGAAGTGAGTCAGAACCAATCTATACAATACAACATGTGTTGGCAAGAAAGGCAACAAATGGGGGGGAAAAATGGCTCAAAAGAACAAAGTACAAAGTTAGGCATAAGTGGCAGAACAGTAAAGTGAAAGCTAGTTTTACATCAGAAAGAGAGAACAGATGCCTTTTTTGTTGTTCTAAGAAGGGCAGCATACTGGAAGAAACCAATGAAGAAATTTTCTAAGAGTCTTACTTTTCCAGCTGTCACAAAATACCTGCATCAATTTAGGAATAACCAAGTTCTGCGTGATCATTTTGTATTACAAAATATACCCCTTCATTTCTTTCAGCTTACAGAATTATTGGTACAGAACTGTAATTATTTTGCTCTACCTTCTCCCCTAGAAATGCTGAAAACATATGATTCTACTATCTATCGTAGACCTTTGGTGCTTGAAGGGTTACACTTATTTCTCTCTTCCTAGACAATTTACACTAACACACCATTTCAAAAAATATTTTTTCCATTGTTTGTCATTTTCTTCACTCCAAAATACAAAAGAAATTGTACAGTTGCAAAAATGCATGCTTTAAGCCAGAACTGCAGTATACATTAATAACATTAACCAACAACAAAGCTTTAAAAAAATGTAAAGGACAGAGGAAGAGAAGTTTTGCAATAAAGCACATGGTCTGAGTACTGACTCCATCAAATTTTTTTACAGTTAATATTTCAGAAAAAATATCTTATTTTATGTAAATTAAAAAATTAAATAGTATCTGAAAATGAAGCCTAGAAATATAATAAAGGCATAACTTACCAAAGTGCCAAAACCTAATGTCCAGAAATGTTCATTTCGAACTTCCAACACACCATCCAAAGTTGAAACCTAATTTTACACAAACATCCACAAATATGAAAATAAATTAGAAGTTTCAGATCCATTTAGAAACATATTTTTATACAGAACTGAATAACAAATAATTTTCAGTAGTGAAATAAAAGCTCCATACAGAGAACAGATGATGTCTGTTAATGTCACTAATACTTATCTACCGCACTTTTGCTACCCTTAAACATCCAAATCCATCAAAAAAGTTTTAAGGAACATATTTCAAGTAACTCTTGCTGCCAAACTGAAGTATGTTCTTAACTTGATATGCTGTAATTCAACAGCTGCCTGTACTCCTTTTCCTCCTTCAACTCACATTTGTAAACCACTTCAATAGTAGCTCAAATTTAAATAAAAACAGCCTGCACTACTTAAATAGATTTGTTCCAGATACCTAAAAGACACTATTCATCTTGGAAAGCAAGATTCATATTTTCTACATGCCGCTAAAAAAAATTTAAAAAATAATTTTAGCAAACTTCTTGGACTGGTCAGAAAAATTCTTCACATTCCTGAATGCTTATTAGCTGTACACATTGTGCTATGTATTATACACTGACTTACCTCTCTAAGAAGTTTATCTAACTGGCCAATCACATGAGGTGGGGTTGTCTTCAAAAAGAAGAAGTAAAGAAAATACAAGTTATAATAAAGATTAACTGGCCCTGTTGAAGTAAGAGAGCCTTTAAGTCTGGTCTACCCACAAAAGAGAGCAATGGCATTTTCATTAAATTCTTATGACTTCGTGATGCACATTTGCACAACCTTTAACATTCTTGTAGCACATCATGAATTCCCATAGGAACACTGCCTATTTGCAAGCTTAAAACAGATTTCAAGCTTTGGGTTTTTTTTTTTAAATGAGGCCATTTAACAAGAAAAACCCACAAAATCTGTTGATTTGCAAGGCTGCCTTACCTGGAGTAGTACTTTCCCACTGTAGACACTCATGGGATACATGGTACCAAATGTCATCAAAGCAATTGCTATAGCAGAGGCTGTGTCCACAGCAAAGTAATTGCTAGGGAAAAAGAGCAATTTTAGAGAAATCCTGGTATTTACATTTTTGAAAGGCAGAACAACTTACTTATGGTTCTTTTTTCGTTCTTTTATATTATATAAACTTACAGAATTTTACATACATTGAAAGGCAGAACAACTTACTTATGGTTCTTTTTCGTTTTTTAATCTATATAAACTTACAGAATTTTACATATACTAATCTCATTTGAACTCTCATTCATCTTGGACAATAGACAGATGCATTCAGAGTTGCAATACCATTCATACAAAATGCAGCTCTACATCAGAGCATTCCTTTATGTAAAAAATGTATTTTTCCACAAAGTGGATACAAAAAGAGCTACTATTTTAAACCAACTGCACATACTTGATTTCAATGAGCATGTATGTAATGCAAAGAGCCAGAGCTCCAGCAATATCAATCAAGACAAAAGGGTTCATCCGTGGCAGAAAGATGCTACTCAATCCTGGGATGATTCCACAAATACTGCAACAAAACAGAAAAAGTAGTTGTCAGCCAGCTGTTCTACTCTGAAATTCCAAAATTGAATTCCAAAATTACACCCATCATTTAGCATTTGACTTCTAACACACCTTGCTGTCATGGCATATGATGAGCACTGTAAAGGCCCCACTAATTCTGCTCAAAGGCTGCTGTCAGCAAAAATTACTCTATGTTTTTCTTCTGGGAACACAGCTCTGTGATATAGCTATATCAGCTGCCTGCAACCCAAATGCTTGGTGGGTTCAATACTGGTATTACAGAGATGTACACAGAGAGAGATTTGCATATCACCAGTCTTCAATCCATCTGCCACCTTGGTGTAAAACTGTCCTGAAGTCAAAGCTAACTAATTCATGGAGTCTTAAAAGAGGAAGAAGACCAGCTAGTTGAGTAAGAGGAGACCAAAAAAATGCATGAGGGAATGCTGGGAAAATTACTTATTTATAGCTATTTCCTGTCAATGGGAGTATGAAGAGAGAAGGGAGTTTCTGTACTTCCCAGTGAATATAAGTGCATGTCATGTCCTGGAAAATTTTAAGGCAATGACAACATGAAATATCTTGTTGCTATGGTTAAAGCAAACTTATGTTTAGACATCATGTGCTGGCCTGCTTCTGTAAGAATTTTAATCAACATAATTATATACAGGTGCAGGTATTTTTTTAATCAGCACTGCTTCACATAACACATCTGAAATAGCTGTATACATACTAATTCAATGGGGTTTTACTTATACTGGCTTAACTGTATACAGGTTATCTCAAAACCCTGTAGAAATAGTATTACTCTTGATCTGGGACTCCTTCAAGTTATCCATCAGTGCTCTTCCCCTTAAAACTGTGTTTCTACACTGATAAGAGGGAAGTTGTGCTACTGTCCGTGATTGGTATCCACTTTTTTTTTTTTTTTTACAATGAAACTTGGCAACCTAATTATTAGTCTTCCAAAAATATTTCACAGATTTTGGTTCTGATGATGTAACATCTTATACCCATACAAAATCAATTCTTCTGTTACCAAGCCAGCACTCTCTGCTCTCCTTAACTGTAAAAAAGATCACGAGATGCAGAAACAGATGGGTTTTGAAGCATACTTAACATGTTTTACAGCTTAGTTTAACATTTTTCTTTTGATACCAACAGATAGTTGGAAGAACGTGTATGGATTAAATAAACTTCCCTGACATCTGACAAAGCTATTTGCAAACAACTTTATGTTGCATTTAGATATCTAATACAAGCAAGACAGTTAACAGACAAGATGAATGATCAACACTGCTTATATCCCTGGAAGACATGGACTTGCCAGTTTCCTGCTGGACAGGTGAGGAGTTTCCATAGCTATGGTTCAGTGAGTTACCTGTTTCATATATCACATTTAAACTCAACCATCTGAATCATACAAAGTAAATAAACATAAATTATTACAAAATATATCACTCAGTAATGCATGCTGTGAAATGCAGCTCAGGTATGTACAGGATAATGCTAGTTTTCCTAGTCTCATCCAAAGAGAATTACATACAATGTACTGAACACATATATTCAAAAAAAAGATACCCATAAAGCTGTATTTCTGTTAGATTGATGTATCTGGGAAATATGGGAGACAATGTTTACTCCAGAGTTCATACATGAGACCTCCAGTAGGTAAAGATATTTTATAAGCTCTAATACAAGTTTATGCCTCAGTACTCCTCCAAAATGTTATTATACACACAAAACCAACACTGCCTTCCAGAAGCTAATGATTTTGAAAAACAAAATAAAGCTTCACCTTCTACTAAGATCTGCAACATGTTCCTGAAGCCAACTTGTACTGGCAGCTGCAAAAGAAAGAAGGTAATAAAGTTACCACAATTTTAAGTACCACTTTAAAGTTACTACATATTAAAGTACACGCAAGTTATATTTTAAGGGAAGAATTCAATAAATACACTGTGAATGAGTAAATATATCTCAACAGATACCCAGGCACTTGAAAAAAGACCCAGATCTGTCTTTTCCAGATAGGAAGTACAACATCCATCTCTCATAATAATCTGAACTGATTAAATACAAATATAATTGCAGGTTATAAACATTATCTTTTATATAATACAGTGTAAAATAGATATTTATAACTATGGACAATTTACAGGGCAATTTACAATTGCAGGAATGACTGCAAACCTGTTTCACAATGAAAAGGTAAAAGAGCTTTTCATTTACCAATGAAAAGGAAAAAAAGAACTATTGCATTAACTTATTTTTTAATTCATTAATACATCCATAAAATGTGTTGAAAGTTTTGGTATCTGTCACATGACCTTCACTGATTGCATTCAAAAAATTGAAAATAAAGGATACAGCAGCATTAAAATAATACTTGGTTTATCATATTAATGACCTCAGACTACTTTAAGCCTTATAAGCAAACTGGAGTTGAAAATCAGATAGCAATTCTACTGCACAAAGTTACATTAACAGAGGTAATAGTAATATACAACCACTAGTTAAGGAAGTTACCAGACAAGTAAGTTATACCTTGATAAAAATAGGAACATTAACATTTTTTTCTGAATTCTTGTTACAGTCTAATTTATCACATACCTTCAGAGACATAAGCAAAAGGCTTATTCTTAATGGAAAGCATTGTAAATAAGTTGAAAAAGAGAGCCACGAAAGTACCAACCAGCAGTCGTCCCCTAGGGAGGGGAAAAAAAGTGTCTTAATTTCTCATAATCAGAGAACATGCCATCAAGCTGTAACTACCAATAACAATATCAAAATATTTTGCTTGGTTTCATTCACTGAGACTGAAAACCAGCAGGATAAACTAGTGTAATACTTAATAACCAGCAGTGTATTATCCTTGTAAGGGTTGTACAAGATCACTGAACTTCGTACATTGTTATCACACAACACTCATAATGTTGAGTAACAGCTCTTAACCAACTGCATATATGCACACACGTATATATTTGCCCTTTGAAGATACAAACACACTGTCCCCTCAGCAGCACAGCTAAGAAGCTTAGCTTTCAATGGAATCATGCAATCCACCCCCAACCTCCTTCTAGAACTACTTCAGCATACATCCCATGTCCCATTCATTTGCCCTGTAACACCTGCTTTACCTCTCCCAGTGTCTGTATAGTCTGAACCCTCTTTGCAAAACCTCCAGTTCCCTGTTGACCACAGCATCCTTCCCCCCCACATACCAGGCCTTCCAGGAGGCCACAAGAAACAGAAGGAAATTAACTAGGAAAAGCAGCAATATGTAGTTAGATCACTATTTGAGAGAACATGAGCATTAAATTTCAATTGTACCTTGAAAAGAACTGTCTGCAGTATAGCCTGCACATGGTTTGAAGCAAATGCCAAGGCACCAAAAGCAACTTTGTACTGAAAGTACTTGCATAACTAATATGTGCTAGATAACAATTAGAAACACAAAAGGACAATACATTTTACATGTCAAAATAATTTCTTACGTGTGTATCTCAGGCTGTTCCAGAAACCGCTCCGCACTACAAGAATAATTGAAAATTTAAGTTATATTCATACACTAAAGCCTTGATACCTGAAGCATGTTTTTACAGTTCTTTAGCATTAGCTGCCATTCATAGACAAAAACTGATAGATACAGTACTGCAAAAAAATGGATTGTTAAATAAACATAGCAACTTTTATAAGCAATAAAAGCATTTCACACTGAATCAAAGCAGATGTGATTTAGACTTCCCAAATATTTCCAAACTGTGCCAGCTACCATGAATGCTGCCTACATGATAAAAATATGCTTGTAAATGAACATGCAAAAAAATATTGCTACTGGCACCACCACCAGTGTTGGTGACCACAACAAAGTCTGAAATTCCTGACTTACAACCTCACACTAAGCAAGGTCAAATAACGCATACATTGGATACTGGGGTGGAGATATAGATCTTTTTTCACCCACCAGTGAGTTAACAAATGAGCTTCAGTTGTAACAGGAAAATCTGCTAAGTTTGTGGAATTTCCTAAAATTGATGGTGGAAAACTTGGAGGTTTTGACAGAGGGTGATTCATTCCAGAGGACTGTCATTTCAATACACTGACCTTGTACTATAAAGTTACTAAGTTGTTAATACAGTCCTTTACACAGAAATTAGAGCACTTGAATAAAATAAGGGAAGGCATAATGTTGCAATTTTAAATTCTAGATGTTAACAAAAGCCTTTTCATCTTTAAAAACAAAAACAATGTTTTAGGCTAATGTTCTGAAATACAATTGCTCCCAAGCATACATGGTATGGCAAATTAATACTTGAACTAACTTTGAGGGAGTGAAGAAGTTGATGCTTTAAACATTCAGATCCTTGATATATTATGAAGCTTCTTGACTTCAAAAAGTAACAGAAGTAAACCCAAAAAACTTTTATTTGTTAATGAGCTCAAAAAAGTCAAGATGCGCAAGGAAATTAATTAAATTAATTACACAAACTTTTGGAAAAAGTACACCTAAAACCATTATATCTTTCCCTAGAGAGCTTTTTAAGAACATTTACCAATTTCCATCTTTACATCTAAAGCCTACACGTAGTGTAGTAAATGTAAGCAAGCAGTAAGGTTTAGCAATATTTTTTTAAAATCTTTAAGTCTTTTCTAAAGTATTTCTTCACATACAGCACTCATAGAATGCACATGCTTTTGGTTGATCTGGACTGTATCTTCATATGTTGAAAAATTAAAGAAAACAGTACATAACCCTACCTTTCTTTCAGTATAAAAAGAGCACCAAGCTGTGCCAGAACTGTAGATGCAAATACAGCTAGAACTTCAAACCTTTCAAACCTGAAATTTGAGAATTAAGTTTAGAAACACTGAACATTGAACAATGCATCCAACAAAATCTTTTCTGTGCAAGAACCAGCAGGATACAGCTACTTTTTCCAATTCATTCAACAGCAGACAGATGGGAAGAAACTGGAGATTTTGTAGAATATAGAATAGTCATTATTTTCAGTTTCTTTTACAGAATAGTCATTATTTTCAGTTTCTTTTAACACTCCACTCAGAGACACCTTAAAATTAAGCATTTCTTAATTCTTCTTCCTGTCCATCCCCTACTCTGTATTGTTCTTTGCACTAAGTCTTGCCCCTCCTCACTTTTAGGCTCTTTCACATACAGAGTATTACTGATGGCTGTTTGGGGATCCAGGCAATGACAGCGAGCAAGGTATGAAATGCTGGATTATCAAACACTACATCTTGTTATTAGTACTTACCCAAATGAATACACTGGGCTGGGTTTCTTCATCATTACCCAGTAGCTTATTAGACATGTTACCAAACTGAAAAAAGGGGGGAGAATTAGACTATGATAAATAACAGCAGCCTTTACAAACTGCATAATCTACAAATACACACTTGAGCCACCAGAACTCAACAAATGAATACAGACACATCTTGCCCTGAACTCAACCTCCATCACTGTCACAGTGATGTTCTAAATGCTCCTCATGTGCTTTCTGAACTTGCCTAGAAATGCTGTAACCAGATAAATGCTGCTTAAATGAGAAGGAAGCTGATAAGCAAGATGGAAGAGTGAAAGAAAAAGCAAAGAAATCTCTCTATTAAAGTCTTCTTTTAGAGATATACCATGAATTTGATTTAGTACTCCAGAGTAAGTCTCAGGCCACACCAAGTATTGCCTTCCTTTTTCATGGTGTAATTTCTCTATGTATGCAGCCAAAACAGATTAACTTTCTTTGGCTGCATCCACCTACACAACCTCTAATCTAACTGGGCATTCACTGACAGCCACAGGTCTCTCTTGCTATCTTCTGTCCAAATTTTTCTCTCATACTGAACATCTAGAATCCCAATTATTTTGGAATCTCCATGGTAGTAGTCAGAATGTTTCAAGGATGAGTACAGTTTCATCTGCCTATTATTCTTCTACTGAACAATTTTTTTCTCTATTGAACAATTTTTTCAACTGGAATCCACATAGATTTAGTGCCATCTGTGCTTTCATGCAGTCCTTTTGTAATTAACAACAATGTTAAATCACACTGGATCAAGAACTCATCCCTACTACTGATGAACAATCACATCCTCACAACTTGATTCTCAGCTGCTTGGAATAAAAAGTAAAAGTAAAAAGAAAGTAATACTGTTCATATACAAAGCCATAAACTCATATTCTCAGTGAGACTATTATATGCAACCAGGCAATGACAAAAAGAAAAGAAGCAGAAATTTACTTTTGCAGCAGAATTACTGAGCATTGTTCTCCCTTACAGCAAATCAAAATTCTTGAAAGAGATTGCTGTGAGTCAGAAAAATCTTCTAGTCCAACCCCTAATCACTCTAAGACAGGAGAGCCAGGGGTGTTCTACCCTCTTCTAAAACTAAAAGAAAAAAGATTTCCATACGAATGGGAAGTACATCAACACTTTCCCCAATTTCCCCAAGGTGAAAAAGGTATTTTGAGTCAAGATGACAAAAATTCAGTAGATACAAAATTCTAAAAGAAAGGCAAGATTCATTACAGTTAAACCTTAATTCTAATGCAGTCACAGATCAATTTTTTTGTGCCTATCCCAACAAGTCTTTTTTTTTTTTCTGCATGTTTGCTGATGTCATTTATGAATGTTTTACTGTAAGTCAGATAAGTTATAGTAGGTAATGGACATATGTGTGACTCAGAAAGCTGACCTATACCTTTTATAAGATAGTGAGAGACCAAGGAAGGTAATGTAGGCTAGTATTTTTAAAATATCTACATTTTATTTCCCAACCACTGCTACCATTCTGTATCCTAGATAAGAAATTAATGTATTTCATGTCTGTATTATCAATATTAGCAAAAGTGTTCAGAACTATCATACTAGAAGTTGTTTTAATACAATTTTGTTAGAATACAAGAAAAATACTGAAAATATCTAATGACCTTATGTGCAGAATACTTGGTATCCAACTTGTGAAATATTTTTGAAATAGAATTACATGCTTCTTGTTTCCTGACGTTAAAACTGAGGGTTACGTCACCATCAGTGACTATGGCATTAGGAAAATGTTCTCAGAAAACAACCAGACAACAGTTTTGTGCCATATTGCTTTATGTTGTCACGTATGTGCACAGAGAAATCTCATGATTGAACTAATCAGTTACTAGTCTTTCTCAACATAGCTATGGTGGGGTTTACAATCTACTTATTGTGTGCAATTTTATACTCATTTAAGTTATATTTAAACCCATTACTGTTTCTATACTGATGACTATGTTACATATCTTTGAACCTGTATGTAAATTTTAAGTGTATAGAAATATACAGACAAAATGAACAGTAAGACAAAATGGGAAAAAACTCACCTGAAAAGGTCAAAGATTGTCAAATATGTGTAAGCAGTTAAAGCTGTAAATAAAAGTAAATATTAAAACTTAATACTTAATTTTCAATGTAAAAATTACTTGTTTTTTGTGCAGCTCTTTCCAATCTTCTACCTACATAAACTGCCTCTGCTGATAGAACAAGTCTCTGTCATTCTAAAGACACCAATATATTTAATGTCATAAGCAGGTTGATGATGGCAATCCTAATTCAACTAAAGCACGCAATAAAGCCCAGATACAAAAGGTATCACATTTGTGACTAAGCTGTGACTTGGAATTTAAGCACCAGAAAGTCAGCAGATCTTCCAGAAACACATCACTTACCAAAGTAAGAGATCTCTTATGCGTGTTATTCCAGTGAAAAGTAGGTTAAACTGAATGTTTTACTTGTTTTGCATCTCTAACCTGTCTTGAAACTGAAAGAAAACCTGCACCAAAAATTAAAAACGAAAAAAGCATTCCATTCTCAGCACAAGTGATGGGAAGCACCTATCCAAAAGCAGAAGTGACACAGAACTGCATTGGGTCTGTCTGATCTGGAGCTCATTTCTCCACAGCAGCCCTCAGTGCTGTGCTTCACAGTGGCAGCTACAGAGGTGGTGAAAACACTCCAGTGTTTTGAGCATTCCTTGGAAGCAAAGAAGTCTTAAGGCTATTCCACACTACAAACATCCTCATTCAACTGTAAGTCAGGGTCTCTGCATGTCACTGGTGCTGCTTGTACAAGGAACAGGTTTGAGGACTAGTAACTCAAAAGTCTACTGGTTTTCAGTCTTAAGGATGAAGAAGCTACTGCAGGAAGCAAATGACCAGCAGGACTGAAAAACTGTGCAAACTTTGAAGGACTTCCACCCATCCAAACTTGTCCATGAAAATTGCTTCTAAGCTGACTGCAGCAAATCCACAGGAAGCACTTTCTGAACCTGGCTGTGCAAAGCCCTAACTCCATGAAGTACTGGATTTGGCTTTTTCAGTCAGCTGGAACACCACAAGCTAAGAAACACATGGTAGTTTGTTATAGTTTCAGTACATGAGAGCCACCTACCTATGCTGTTTGTAGAGCTGCACCACATGAGCAGGAAGCCAATACATATTAAATTTATAGCACCAAACAGTAAAATCTTCCAGGACTGTTGATGAGAATAAATACATATTTACACACTCCAAAATTTACAAGACAGAAATACATCTATCTGGTCTTAGAAAACAATACTGCAGTACTTGGTCATGCAAACAGAACTGGCTTCTCCTCCCTCCCAAAAATTCACCACTCATTTCAGAACAGCAAGCCATTATTCTATTTTTAACTTTACAGATTATTTTAAAACTCATTTATGAATGCTACCATGCTAAAAATACCTTTTTGGTCTACAAAAATCCCACCCATCTATAATATTTGCATTTCATTACAGCACACAGCATCTGAGTTTTGAATACCAACTCATGCAACTTTATATTAGTGGGTTCCTTTATTTGTGCTGAAACTTCGGTCCCAAAAACATCTGAACACATTCAGTTTACAGTTCCACTGAACCCGTCAGATATAATTCTGGAGAACACTAATTCACAGGGAGAACACACAGAAGCTATACAACTCCAACGATTATTTTTTTAAGCACAGCTAGAAAAATTCAAAGAAAAAAATTCATACTATACTTAAGTTAATAGTGTATTTTAACTTACTACAGCTAATGTATTTTTATTACAATTATGATTTTTTTAAGCAACACTTACCCTTCTGTCTGCTGCAACCAACCTAAATTCATGTGTTAACTTTCCAACCAATGATCTCTGTGATTTGCGGAACAGGTGTATTGTCCCCTTAAAAAAAATCAATAGTTTAATTAAAAACTTTATTTAAACCAAAATTTAAATTAGCAAAAAGGAAATCTTCATTTATGAACTATTTTCACAATTATATCAAAGACCACAGTGAACTTTTTGTTAACCAGAAATATCACAAGCTTTAAACTCAACAATATTTTGGTAACTTTAAACTCAACAATATTTTGGTAACCATCTCATGTGGTTTATTATATTAGAATCACAAATGACTTAGAATCAAGCTTCATTTAGACATAATCCAGAAATCAGGTTTACTGGAAAAGACACTAAAGTATCACCTAAAGAGTGGGTTTTAACTTCTATTTAGATGAAACTACTACAAGACAGCTGGAAAACACAAATATTTTTCTTCATCAAAGCACACTTCCCACCCAAAGGCAACGGATTTATTAAACAGGAAAATACTGTTTATAGATCTATAAAGGAGAACCCACCAGAGAAGTAAAAACAATGCTGGTGATGTTGTAGACCCGAGGCCAGTAACAAAATGAAACACACCAACAAAACGAAATATACCAACAAAACGAAATATACCAACAATGATTGTTGGCTCTGACTTAACCCAAGGGGCTGCTACACCGCTCTCCTGCAAGCCTGACAGGGAGCAGACTACCAGAGAAATTCACCTGCCATGACACTTGTTTCCCTTGCCTCGGAGGGTCCAAGCTGCTGGTTGTCCTCTGTTCTGCTCTCCCCACAAAGAAGTAAGCTTGCCATGTGAAAAACCCTTCTGATTTGCAATAAAAATTTGTGGAGCTGACTTAACCCAAGGGGCTGCTACACCGCTCTCCTGCAAGCCTGACAGGGAGCAGACTACCAGAGAAATTAATCTGCCATGACACTTGTCTCCCTTGCCTCGGAGCTTCTGGTTGTCCTCTGTTCTGCTCTCCCCACAAAGAAGTAAGCTTGCCATGTGAAAAACCCTTCTGATTTGCAATAAAAATTTGTGGAGTTGTAATGGATGGTCTGTCATCTGCAGCAGTTTGGGGCCAGATTAAATAAGGTTTGATTCTAAGCTATCCCACTTTAGCTGCCAGCAGAAGGCAAAATGACATACTAATGGGTTCTTCACCAAAATTAATTCAATTAACTTTCACACATTTTGTCAACAGAGCTGCATTACATATTATCTAAGAAATACAAGTGTGCCATGAATTAAACCTTAAGCACTACTACATATCGCAAGTTTAGCTCATATGGGACAAAACACAGGCTTACTCTTACTTACTCTTTTCTTTATTAGCAAATCATTACATGATAATTTTAATTCTTAATAGACACGTGCAGGGTGCCAGAACACCTTGGAAAGCTTTTCAAACAGGCAGTGGACAGCCTGCTTATGAAAGCTGCTGTCTTACAGAATCACAAAGAATCACAGAATATCTGAATTGGAAGGGACCCACAAAGATCATAGAAGTCCAGCTCCTGGCCCTGCACAGGACACCCCAAGAGTCACACCATGTGCCCAGAGCACTGTCCAAGCACTTCTTGAGCTCTGTCAGGCTGCTGCTGTGATCACTGCCCTGGGGAGCTGTTCCAGTGCCCACCCACCCTCTGGGTGAGGAAACTTTTCTTTATATCCACCCTAAACCTCCCTGACACAACTCCAGGCCATTCTCTCAGGTCCTGTCACTGGTCAGCACAGAGCAGAGATCAGTGCCTGCCCCTCCTGTTCCCCACTGAGGAAGGTTAACTGCAGTGAGGGCTCCCCTCATCTCCTGAGGCTGAACACACCGAGTGACCTCAGCCACTTCTCACACGGCTTCCCCTCCAGACCCTTCACATCTCCGTAGCCCTCCCTGTCAGCTCTGCACCCAGGGCTTTCCCATACTGCTGGCACTGTGTCACTGCCCAGCCACACCATGCCACACCTCCCTGTTTACAAAGGATGCCGTGCATCAGAGCTGTGTACTCGGTGCCACAGGGGGCCCGTGCAAACCCAGGCAGGTCACAGCCCACCCCTGGAACAGCTCCAGCTCAGCACGGGTTGCCCCTTGGCAGGAAGGCATCCCTAGATCCCACAGTTCTGCCGAGAGCTCGGTGCGGGCAGGGCGGCTGCCCCACACCTCAGCCGGCCCCTGAGGCGCTGGAAGAGCCCCAGCAGACGAGATTGTGCAGCCAGCGGCACTGACTGCTCCGACAGGTGACAGCACCTCTTACGGGCACCGGTGTCACCCCAGCGGGGCTCAGCACGACAGGGGCACTTTTCGCCGCCCAGACGAACAAGCACACGCGGCGGTCGTGCCCCAAAGATCGGGTTTTCGTCTTTGTGAGGCGAGCCACAGAGTGACAGCCCCGACCCCGGGGAGCAAGCGCCCTATAACCTGTTTGTCCTGCGGCGAGTGCCAGCTCCTGACCCATGTGCCGCTGAGGAAAGCTCCGAGGCTCAGACCGCGACCCCGTTCGAGAGGCAGCCCCGGCACAGGAGCCCCCACGGCCCCGACACCCGGCCGCGGCCCGGTGCCGGCGCTGGAGGGGCGGGCGGAGAGCCGCGAGGGGGAAGCACGGCACGGGCCGCGCCCGCCCGATGCCCCGCGGCGCCGCCGCCCCGGCGAGGGAGCGGGCGCTGCCAGCGGCCTCCGCACGCCGTGCTGCACGCAGGACTTTCCTTCCCCTTTCCCTCCTTGCCCCCAGCAGGGGCCACTCACCATATTACTCCCCGCAGCGGAAGAGACGGCGCCATGCGAGGCCGGAAGGGGCGGGAGAGGTTCCCGTCGCCGCGGCAACCGGCGGGCCCGGCGGGACACGTGGCGGAAGCGGCGCCCGCCGGGAGCCCGCGGGATGTGCCGCCCCAGCCGCCCTTCCTCGCTCCTCCCCAGCCGGCGGCAGGCTGACGTGGGGACCCGCCGTGGGGTGTAAAGGTCTTGTCTGCCGCTCGTCTGCCCGCTGCCTGCGGGAGCCCAAGGAAAGGGATTCCACGGGTGGAACCATCGCAGACCTACGGTCATCACAGTCCAGCCTGGACCGAACACCACCGTGTCATCTAGGCCATGGCACTGGTGCCACGTCCAGTGTTTCCTTTAAACACTTCCAGGGATGGTGACTCCACCAATACCTACAGCCCGTTCCAATACCTGACCGCCCTTTCTGTGAAGAAATTCTTCCTAGTATTCAACCTAAACCGCCCATGGCACAGCTTAAGAGTTTTGTAGTCCTAGGCCTGTCACAGTCAGTCACGATGCTCCACTACAGCAATTCCACAAGGATGGATTTGCTTCCCAGTACGAGCATTCCTTCCCCCGTCCCCACGGCCAGCCGCAGTACCCGGCGCTAAGGGCACTCGGGACACAGCCTGCAAAAGGCACTTCTTTTCCCCAGCTAAACCCCCCAAGGACAGCAGCTCTCCAAACTACAGAGTTATGTTGGAAATGCAGTCACTGTGCGCTGAGATTCCCAGAAGCGCTCCCGTGGCTCTGGATCCGGTGCACATTAGAAGCATCGCGGTCCAGAGGAGGGATCCGCACGCCGTGCAGCCCCATCCCGAGCCGGCTGCTATCCAGAGCGGGCTTGGAGAGGATTCTGGCACTGACCGCCGCTCCCGAGGCTCGGGAAGGCCGGGACACAAGGTGCCAGCATCCCGCGGGCTGAGTGGCCAGCAGATGGCTTCACTGTGCCCAGAAGCTCCTGTCAGGAATGCGTACGGCAGGACCGCTTTGCGTGGGAAGTACAATGAAACACAGAACAGAAATCATCTTGGAAGCTCGGATAGCTCTTAAGAAAATTTGTGCTGCAAAGTTGCGATCCCAAAGTTGCACGGGATTGAATGTACTGAAAGATTTATTCACAAAACAGCTTATTTGTTGTTTATTATTATTTGCAAAGTAAGTGGAAAAGAGAGGAATAAAAATTGAAGCAAGATATTTTATTAAAACATATTATTGTGCCTAGGAAGAAACTTGGAACAACCTTCTGTAACACTGCCTTAATCTTTGTTCATTTAAAGAGTCTATTCAGCTCTCCAGTACCCATAGTTAAAAATGTTATTTGCATCTCACCTGTTCTGTAAAACACCAAAATACTTACCTGACTGTGGGTGAGAGATAGGCCTGTACATCAAATTAAACCAGGAAAAAGCCAGTCTTTAATCTGCTTCACAGTTTAATGTGCTCCACAATTAAGTTGTGTGTATTGTCTCCTGTTCCTATACATTTGCAGAACGTGATTTTATTATTGATTTTAAAAAAATTATTTTCCAGATTTTGAGTGTATCTGGTCCTCAGAGGTATCATTAATTAAGAACAACTATCAGACTTATCAGGTAATTGTACTCCTTAAGATTGATTTAATGTCTCAAACCTCATTCTAAGCTCTTGGCTGTAGTCAGTATGGGTTTTTTTTCCAGTGTATGGAAGAAATTTTGGAAACTATTTGCAGAAAATAGATTTTTGCTTTATAGAATCTGGATGACAGGCAAGAAATTCAAACTGCAGCTGCTGCCTCCTTTCAAATTTAATGAGGAAATCAGAACTCTGGTGAACCACTGTATAATTTGCTCCACAAAGTTTTTTTGTTACTTCATTATTGACATAGTATTGGGCTTTTTGATTTATTTGATGCCACAGGGTATTTCTTCCCAGAAGAGGCCAACAGTTAGTTATTAGAAGCAGCACTTGAGGAAGTGCCTTCACAGTAGAAAAGTTCTACAATAGCACAGCTGATACTAGCATTCTGCATATAACAAAACTAAAAGTCTTCAAGGATGTCTTACTGAGGCAAGTTTGAGGCCTTTTAGAAATTACTAAAATGAGATTTGAAAATAACAGAAGTTACAGACTTAGAAAGAACATATTGTTCTTACACTATACACTTGCAAAAAAAAGTGGAATTTTCAAAACTGTAAAACCACCACACTTTATTCAATAAGTTGTTTGTAGGCTGATATTCTGGAAAACAAGTTTGGTTTTTTTTAATATAGCTGCAGCACAGCATCTGGAATAATCCCACAAGTGTTAAGAGATGGATTTTAGTTAAATTATATTTTTCTGCCTTCACCATAACATGTATTTTCTGTGTTATCATGATACATAGAATAAAAAATATCTTAGGGAAAGTTGCATAACTGTCTTCTCCAGAGGCACGTAAACCCTTTCAGGAAACAGGCTGGATCTCACAAATTCACAACATATTTGGAAATTTGCAGAAAGTTGGCATGAGTGGGGGAAAAAGAAACCCAACAACAAAAAACCCCAAAACAAAACAAACCCCACCCACCCAAAACAAACAAAAAACTCCCACCCAACAAGTTTTAACTTACTTTTTTCTCACTTTTCTCTAGCAAACTTAGAGCACTAAAATACAGAAATCAGCATCTAACACTAGGCATGCAGCCTTGTCTCCCTCCTTGGCTGGAATGGGAACAATTTAATGAGTCCAAGATAAACTTCAGTCCAGGATATGCTGCCAAAAACAAAATCCTGTAGATTTCAAAATAGCAAATGGTGGGATATGTTTTTTCATGCTCTTCTTTCTTCACTGATTTTCATTTTCTGATTATCTCCTCTACAAGAATAAAGTATTTGAATGTCTGCAGCCTATACACAAAATTACCAATAGAAATCAGTTTAGTGGTTCAAAATCTACCCCCAAGCAGTAGTATTTCAGCCAAAGAGAGATACCTTGGATAGACACCAGTGATGTCTTTCTGTCCTAAGGAATTATTCCTTCACAGAAGCAGGAATAGCTCACATGCTTCAGTCCAACACTGGGGTTTTTTCTTCCTTACTGTATAGATTTTTATTTGGTTGATTTGTTTTAGCAGTGTTTGACATGATGATGTGTGGAAGGCAGTGGTCATGGCTGTTTTTTGGGAGACCCCCAATGCTGCCAGATATGTAATATTAAAATGAATCTTAAAAAAATAAAGTTTGATTAATTTTATCTTCAGGATGCAACTGTAATAACAGAAATAGCTGTAAGCAGTCCAGATGCAGCCTCAAGACAGAGAATTACAAAGGTAAGGCAATGGGGTTAAGGAAAGAAATAATATTGTTAACAGAATTAACAGCAGCACTCTCCCCCAAGCAAAAGTAAAGCCGTTTTCAGGCCAAGCAAATGTTGCTCCAAATTTCTCAGGACTTCCTCATGACTACCAGAAATAGTTATGTGAAAACTGGTTTTCATCATGATCTAGCAATACTAGGATAAGCACACACTTTCAGTTTAAGCACATTTATTTAGGAAGTAGCACTTCTGTTTACATTAGTTTTAAGAACTTACGTTCTTTAGAAACTGATTTATTTACATTTTATTGTTCCATCATCTGGTATACAACACCTGATGTTTTTAAATGTTTTTTTCAAACCAGCAGCAATTTAATAGGCTTCAAGTTTAATGAAAAGGCTTTTAGTTTTGGACATTTTATCTGATAAACAGACAAGAAAACAGTACTAACAGGACAAATGAAACATTTTATTGTAGCTAAAGCTATGTGACTGCTTGTCATGCTTTTTTACATTGGTTATTTTTAGTAAAACGGTGTTTAACATTTCAGAAAACATTCTTAAAAGAACGATGAAACAAAAGTGCTTCTAAACAACAAAATACAAAAATTAATCCCATCCCAGACTGGAGTTGTCCAATATATTTTATGGGGGTGTGGTATGGTGTTTTGTCTCCACCTTTGGTCTTCATCGCTTTAATACAGATTTCTGAAAAATACCAACTAGCCCTTCACACGAGTAAAAATGGGAATCATGTAGCAAAAGCAGTTTCTGTATTTCCAGTCCCTTTGTCAGGTGTGCCACTATTAGACAAAATACTTTCTTCCCCACTTCTAATGGGAGAGAACCCTGCATAACTGAGAGGCCACAGCCCGGCAGCTTTGACTGCTACGTCTGTATCAACAAGGAACCTTTAATCCTCAAAGCCACTTCTCTGAAGAAAGCATTTTTTAAGAAGAGTATCTTATGAAGGCAAGGAGAGTCTTACAGCAAAACAAGGTTCATCACCATAGTTTCCAGAAGTAATGTCAAGCATTTTCAAACCAAAACATCAGGCTCTGAAGAATCTGCAGTGTTGAGCCAGTATGTTGAATCCACCGGAGGAGTGTGTACCTTGCCAATTATTGCTGAACTCAGGAGGTAGTTATTGACAAGGTAAGAAGTTTCCACTCTAAGACAGTTAATGATTTACACAAGAAGCAGGAAAAACAGAATACAGATTTCTCCATATTTTACAAGATGATTTTGTATTTCCAGGAAGTGACAGCTTAACTTCCTCATCCTGTGGAATTAAAATTACCATAATTAAAAGATACTGAAAATTATAATTAAAAAGAAAATTCTAAAAGAAAATAGCTGATCAATTTGCCATCTCTTAGGATGTCTGCAGATCATCCTAAGCATGAAAATTCACATAGGTCAGTAAAACAACATTCTTCAACACTAAATAGCAGCTCAAGAGAAACTAATAATAAAACTGCCTCTAATTAGCACAATGACTGAGATAACTAGTTGCATTCACTACCTGCTTGCTACTTTTCATTCCAATTTTGATATCTGGTAGAAACCCCAACAACGTAAAGCATCACAAAAGCTTGAGGGCACCACAGAAAAGGAATGAGAATCTGGTCAGGCACAGTAGCACCGGCTGCCTCCCAAAGCTGCCACATGCAGAAGAACACTAAAGCTGGAGAAGCTAGAGAAGCACGTGCTGGGCACAACTATGCACCAAAGCACTATGGAAATCTAGGGCATGAATTCTCACCATAGGTGATTAAGGAAACCCTAAGGAGAACACTGCTTTCCAGTTGCAGCACAGATGTCTCAGCTCCATTTCCCAGCATATCTGACTTCAGTGTTCCCAGTACAAAGTACTTAAAATTTCATAAGAGGGACCTGACAGCAGTGCCAAGCAGTGCTAAACCCCGCTTGTCTAGAATAGAAAAAATATTATTTATCCTACACCAGAAGGTGAGGTTAATTGAGTTATATGTATAAAAGCTGTCATTCTAAAAACACTTGAGAGAATGGAACAGAAAAACCAGCAATAGCCTCTGACAACATACCTTCTCAGTTCAGAGATCGCATTCTTACTCATTTTAAAGTGTTATTACCACATTTGTTGCCTACATAAAGTTGCAGGGCCATATTCAACAGGACTGTACTAGCAACTGGCTTTGAGTCAGCGAGACATCTCAAGGGCACAAGGCCAATTTTTCTGGTATTCTAAACGCTGCAAAGCCTAAGAAACTTATTTGTGCATACATATCCCAGTTTAAGGCTTATCTTTAATATGCTGTGTTGATTTTGTCTTTGCATACGCAGAGGACTGTACAGGTTTGCTGTAGTCCACAGAAAAGTCAACATTAGTAAAGGGAGCATCATAACATACAACAAAGTCTCAGAGCAATCCACATACTATTCTTCCAGTATGTTGAAAGACAAAAAATGTGGCTCCTGCTTAATAAAAGCAGAAAGATGTATGAAGAAGGTTGCTAGAAAAACACAAGGGCTTTGGGTTGGTTTTATTTTCTCCCTCCAGTAACTGCTACACTTGAAAGCCAGTAAAACACACTGGCAGAAAGCCAGACAAGCTGCTTACTAATCATGTCAAAAAAGTGGGTCAAATTGCTCATTCACTAGCAGTGGGCAGATTCACAGAAAATCAAAGGGGGGGGGGGGGGGAAGGAAAAAATCAGTCCAGAGAGCTAATGGAATGGTAGTCTTCACAAAGGTTAAAAGCACCCAAGTTGCTGTCCTCTTTATTCTGATTTGAGACATTGCATTAGAGCATAACCTGATTTTATGGAAAGTACAGCTGGTAAAGTTCTGTGTAACTACTACAGACTTGGGAAATATGGGCAATTTGAGGTTGTTCGGGGTGGGGTTTTTTTTTGTTTGTTTGTTTGTTTTTGGTTTTTTTGCGGTGGGGGGGAAGGGTTGGTGTGTTTTTTTTCCTTTGTTGTGGTTGTTTTTCCCCAGATCTGCTCTTATACACAGTTAATCCAACATATAGATGGAATCACTGAGCTGGGACTTAGTACATATTAAACGAGGAGTCAAGATAATGCCTTAAGCAGAACAGAATTATTCTTAAAAGACACTATTCAGAAAATAGCATAAGACAAGACATTTAAAGGAGATTTATGAACCAAATAGCACCTGGCCATGGGCTAAGAGTCCAGCAGCTGTGGGGCAAACTGATGCTGCAGAACAAAATTTTCTTCTTTTTACTGTGTTCCAGCATTAATTTATAGTGCTGTAGTTCATCCATTAAGCAAAAAACAATCAGGCATGATAGAAGACCAAAAAGCAGCTGTACCAGTCACACAGATTCTCTTGACTGAACTAGTTTGTTTCACTACAAACTAGTGAAAAGGCTGGTCCCTTTTCTTTTTACGTAGCAGCTGGTGATTCTGACTCTTTGTGCTGCATACTGGTGCTGCTTCATGAGATGGGGACTTCTACCTGAACATTTCAGGTACCTATCCCATGCCAATGAGTATGCATTTGAAATAAATAACCAGTATGTTCCTCAAAATGAAGCGGATGAAACCAACAGTTTTGTAACAATCATTTAGGAACACTGAAAACCAGAAGCATTATCTTTCTAAGTTCTCATTTGCAAAGGATCTCAAGGAATGTCTAGCAAAGCTTTATGAATAAAACCAAGGCCCTTTCTTAGCTGTAGCTATTTGGCAGACACTAATACAACAGAATGTCTAGCAAAGCTTTATGAATAAAACCAAGGACCTTTCTTAGCTCTAGCTATTTGGCAGACTAATACAACAATAATATTCATGCTTAGCACTATGAAGAATATTACAAATATGGATCAAGTCAGCCAGGAATCTCCAACAACAGAGATGGTCTACTGAAGGCAGAACTAAGGCAAAGCAAGACATGAGACTTAAGAATCTGAAATCTTTTAGCATTTCTCCAAAAAGGTGAATCAGAGGAACCAAGTCACATTTCATTTACATAAGACATACATTTGAGAGAATCCTATCCTTAGAAGGCTAGAAGTGGTTTGGTTAGACTATTTCAAAAGGCATAGTAGTGGAACAATCGTCTCTTATTTGATTGCTTTTAATCTTAAGATCAGTTAAAAGCATCTCTGGTTGGAAAAAAAAATCCCAAACATATTGCATATGTGCATCTCAAAGGTTTGACAGAGCTTCTGCTATTTAGTACTCAATACCACACAGTGAGCACAGTCCTCTCAGAGTATTACTATACCTACAACTGCATCTATCAGCTAGGGTTGCTTTTTTCTTTTCATATATACATATAATATATTATTTATAGTCAACTTTCAGGTAAGTAGTTCAAAAAATAAGTTAAATGAAACATTAAAAACAAATTTTCTGTTAAGACCAAAAGCAAATAACACTTACAACTCATTTTCATTAAAACAACAGTAAACAATATGCATTTTTGCAGTATCACTAAGTTGGGAGAGGTGTAAAAAAAAAAAAAAAAAAAAAAAAAAAAAAACCCCCAAAAAAACTCACAACAAAATCAAAGAACCCAACAACCCACAAACCTTCTTTAACAAGGAACTAGTGTTCTGCCTTGCAAACATCTGTGTTTAATCTGTGTAGAATTTGTAAACAAGATGTTGGGCCTTTAGAAGTAAAGGCAAAAATGCTTTCCTTTATTATGGTATTTAAAGGCTATCATTTAAGAGTTTTTTTTTTTAATAGCTTGTCATTTATATAATAAAAACAAGTATTTGTACAAAGATGCAGTTTCTTTTTAAAAAAGCAGATCAGCTGAGTGTTTCATACTTTAATATATAAACCAAAACATATGAAAGCTATAAAAACATTAATGTGTGCTATGTATTAAACATGTAGCCTCATATTTTAATGCTTACATGTGGAGATTAAAAAAATTATCACAATGGAAATTTTACTTTCAATTATCATAAACAGACCAAAATACAGAGTAGAAACACGTAATTTCTGAAACTCAACAATTAGCATCACCTACTCTCTCAAACATCAGCTGGGCTCAAGTTGTACACTGTAAGCTTAAGCTAACATTCTACCAATGAAAGCGTTACAAAATGCATTAAGAGAAAATACTGCCAGTAAATGAGTATCTCAGTCTATTCTTTTATTTAGTAATTTTTCTTTTAAAAGGCAGTTTGAATTGGTTTTATAAGGTTGGGGTTTTTTGCTGTTCTGCTATCAAAGGAGCTGGGCTCAAGTTGTACACTGTAAGCTTAAGCTAACATTCTACCAATGAAAGCGTTACAAAATGCATTAAGAGAAAATACTGCCAGTAAATGAGTATCTCAGTCTATTCTTTTATTTAGTAATTTTTCTTTTAAAAGGCAGTTTGAATTGGTTTTATAAGGTTGGGGTCTTTTGCTGTTCTGCTATCAAAGGTCTTCTTTAAACCTGTCCTGTGAACAACTCAGTCACATTACAACAAAACAAAAAGACAAATAATAACAGACCAGCTACTTGTAACATTTTAATAATCGTAATTCCCCAATGCTGTTCTTCCACTCTGCACAGGGAAATTGTTTTATTTGGCACATTAAGGATAAAAAAAGTCAAAAAAAATGAACTGCAGTTTACAAACCTCAAATTGAACATCATTGTTCCAAGTTCATTGTTCATCAACGTCATGGCAAAATTAAAAACAAAAAAAACACACACACAACATAGAGAAAGATCCTCCAATGATCAATATCATCAGAGCCCTGTAGCAGAAACAATATACATATATTAATGTTCAAACCAGAATCAGATTGCTAGGAATCTTACTTATCTCAAGTCCTGTTGTGCTCTTTCTTACAGTGTGTAAATCCTCACTAAATGGCAAGGAGGCTTTGATGATGAACACATTTCACATTGTATAATTTTCTCTTAATCTCAAGTTTTAATGCAGATATTTAAATATCTGTAAAGTCCTGTAAACTCTGGCTGCTTCCCAGTTTTCTGCACCAGCTGCTCCCCAGGCAGCAGTGTTTCACTTCAAGTAGTGTCTCACACTGTGGTATCTCCAAAGTCCTTGTTCCAGCGAATGTACGCTTCCAGGGTCTGAGGGCTCAAACTGCGCTTGATCTTCTTCAGAGATTCTGTGAAATCTGACAGCTTGATATTTCTCATCTAAACAGAAAATTAATAACATCAGGGTCACAAGCAGTTTACCTGCTTCGGTTGATTCAAGAAGTACTTGAGTATTCACTTTTAACAAAACACATTCTAGGAGTGCTGCATCTTGATGCAAGAACAAAATTTTTGCAGAGAGAGTAGACACCCACTGCAACAACCCCCCCAAGGAATGTGGTAGAGTCTCCATTGCTGGAGGTTTTGAAGATATGAATGGGCAGAGCCCTAAATAATCTCATCTGTGTTCCCTTTCCCATGAAAGGATGGACCAGGTGGTCTTTGAAGGTCCCTTCCAAAGTGAGGTGTTCTATTATTCTATGACCTGATGCAAGAGTCTTGTAATTTAAGACTACCAGTATGCAACATTTTTAATAAGCTAACACTTGCTAATAGTAAGATCTGCCTTGTTACTTAATAGCTCATTAGACTGTGTCATTTCTTCCTGTTTCAGTAGGTGGTGTGAGCTGGTGCATATGAGGACATCACGACAAATTATCACAGATGCTGTTATCCTCCTGCAACAAATCCTTCCAGCTTTGACCACAACCTCAGGCTAAACACAAAAAGTAACTGAGAAATTAAGTTTTGCTCAATTTTCCCTGTGTAACCACGGTTTGCACACACACCTGAATAGAAACTTCTGTACACAGGACCAATTGCTTCCTTTTTTTTTTCCTGCAGTTTGTGGTCAGGAGCTTAATCTTTTTCTTCATGTTGATCCACATCAATGAATGCAAGTACTACACATACACATGTTTGTGTAGTACTTCTGTTTTAGCTTCTCCCTAAGTTAACCTGCTTTATGTAAAGATGGGGTGGAGGGGGTAGAAGTAATTTCACATAATACTTCTGGGAATGCTCTTGGGAAATAACGCTGTGAGTAAATAAAAGCCAGGCCTCTAACATCATCAGCTAGGTAACAAATACTGCAGTTCAGTGTGAAGGAAAAGACAGGACAGTCAGCTGAAATTTAGAACAACAGACTTACTAACAGAAAAATAAGTGCTCTGAAGCCTGAAAGCCAACAAACTACACATGAACCTCAGACATCTGAGGACAGGTCTTGTCAGTCTCTATTTCTAAAGAATTTTCTTTAATGAAGGAGTGATTAAAAAGGGTAATACCCCCAAATATTATGCTATTTTGTATGATACAACACACAAAAAAAGAATCTTCAAAGTTTCTAGTGAGAAAACCTATTCAAAGGGGAAAATACAGCTGCTGGAACAGCTTACCTCACTGGCAGACATGTTCTTCACCTGTTCTGGTTTTAATTCTGTAAAAATAAAAATATATAGGTGAGTTCCGTAAGAAAACTTTAATCACTTCTGACAAATGAAACATGTTAAAAGCACTTATATTTTGGAAAAAAACCCTGCAGCTAAAAATTATACCTTTCTGCCTCAACACAGTCTCCTGTAAAGAAAGGTACATGGTGTTTTTGCATCCTTCCCCATTTATCAGCTCTTCATCCAGGCTGCTCCCACACTCAGTTAATGCAGATGCAACACAAATTGACAGCAGAATTATTCCTTCCTCCTAAAGTATGAAAAACAGCACACAAGCCAAGAAAGCTACCTCCCCCATATTAATTGTGGTATCCACAACCTCCCTACTGAATTTCAGGAAACAGAAGGTACAGTCAGCCAAGAACACAAAATCAGGCAGGGCACATCACAGTGCTTCTTGCCCTATGCTGCACTCATGGGACCTGAACATTCTTGCATTGTTCACCAAGTTTTATTATTTTTTTATAACTTGCAATAATCTCATAGTATCAACATGTAACAGCAAACATTTTGCTAGGAGAGTACAAGAAAAACAATCTAGACAGGATTGGCAAGGATAATATCACAAAACATTTTCAAAAATGTATTGTTTTATATGGAAAACAGAAGCAAGTGAAAGAAATATGTTGCACAATGCTACACGGCCCCTTCTTGAAATGGACTTGCGTGTGAAGCGAGTAAAGCCTGCATACCTAAATGCATACATTATTCATTCCACCACTCTAAATAAATATATTCAAATTCTTAGGAGACATGATGTCTCTTATGAGAGCCATTAATGCAGTTCTGTTTCCCAGTTATTATGCAGGATTGTGAAAGATGTGCTTTACAAATTCAGCAGCTGAAAGAAAGTGTGTAAAAAACATTACATTCCAACAGCTGCTTTCAAAAGAGATAGTGCACTGGCAAAAAATATATGCTACAGGATTAAAAAAAATAATAACACAAACACACCCATAAAAAATGAACAGACCTCTCCTCCTCATAAATAATTTAAGAAAGTTGCAACAATTTTTATTTACACATAATAGGCTGATATTACAGAACACTTCTGCTCTGCCTGCCTTTAGTACCTTTCTGTAAAGTAGGACAATATGTCTACAAACAGAAAACTAACACCAAATCTTCACAATCTTTTCTACACAAAAATCCTGCTACTGATCCCCACTAAACAAAATCAGTGCCCTCAGATGTGGCTACTGGACACATAACTAGCTAGTTAAAATGAACAAAGAGAGGTCTTGGAAAAAGTATTCACATTACAACTGTGGGTTTTTCCTAGCTGGACATGTCAGAGAAAGAACAAATATAAGTAAAACTCATTCACAGTTGCCATCTGGATCACAATTCAACATTAAGAGTTAAAAATATAAAAAGCTATGCCATTCAAACTGTATCTAGAAAAATCCCATTAAATAGCTTGTTTCAGTTTTCCTTCCCTTAGACTTCAAGAGATTTGACTCTTTTATAAAGACAACTAATGCAATCAGCAATTGCTATTCAAGTAGTAATTTAGCTACAACAGAACTGACACCAGCCTCAGAAAGACACTAGTTTAAAACCCTACAAATCATTGACAAACACTTCACCCTGCATTTCTCCTATGACACAAAAACTTTATTTTTCACATGGTGAGATGCTGAAGGGTTTTGTGTAAGTAAATCTTCTAAAGATGCTATTATGAGGAACAGACCAAAATCCAATGTAAAAAGTTAAATTTCAGAGGTTTGAGAATTATAAAGATGCAAGAAAATATAACTCTAATGTCAAAAGCTCAATCAAAATCTCTGCAGCTTACCTCGAATGGGGCCTAGTGCTGCATCCTTCGCTAATGCAGTTAGGTCACTTCCAGAGTATCCATCTGTCATTCTTTGGCAAAGGAAAAAGTGGGGTTAAGGAGTAAGGAAAAAACCAAAAACCTGCATCAAACCACATCGATTTAATTGCAGATAATCAAAGTGTTACTTAATCAGAAGAAGTATTACGTTGATGTTGTTTTTCAAGTTTAATAAATCAGAAGTGTGTTCACTATAAGTGGTCTATATTTCACTCTAAGTGATCTTTCACAGACTAAATTTAAAGTACAGATATTCAAGTCCCAAATAACATTCCAGAAAAGGAAAAAAAGGCAGCAACTAGGATTTGCAGATGAAAACTGATCCCAAGCACATTTACTATTTCTGTTAGGAGAATTCCGTACCACTAGTTTATCAACATTTGTCAATTACTGTAAAACCAAAACCTCAATTGTCCTGTACACTCTGCAGGAGCTGTTCCAGAATCAGACTTAATATCCAAGTTAACCAGTGAAATAGTCTGGAGAAAAAAGGCCTTGACTGAACCAGGAAGCCACCAATACAAAATGCCAACATAAGTGAAAATGAGTAGTGCAGGTTACCTAAAGGAAAATTTAAGAACAAAACCAGCACCCTTGTAAGAACAGTGGCTAGCTGCAGCAACAAGAGCTTAGTCTTCTGGAGAGCATAAAGTCTGTCACAGTTTATAGAAAAACTTGCAGGGGAGCAAAGGAACACCAAATTATAATGGAGGTTAAATACTTCTCTCTCTCAAAGAAAGAAAGATGGAAAAAGAAGCAGGCAGGATGCTCAACTTTTACATTTTCTCTAAACCCTTTAAAATAAGTGTACTCAAGTTGCATTTTGAATCTGGTTCTTATATTTGCATTTAGAATACTGATACTGTGTTTTTCCTCCAGTTAGCTATTATTGCAGCCTAAATGTGGCCTGAGCTAACAACCTTCAAGCACAGAGGGAATACATTCAGTTGGATTACACATCAACTTCTGCAACATTACTAAGAGGCTGACAAATGCTACATCCAAGACTGTACTAACCTCTGCTGTCCTACCACAAAGAGAAACAGACTGAAGTACCTCTACCTGCCTATCTTTGCTATCTCACACTCCGTTTTCACTCCTTCCTGCCCTACCTGCTTTTTAGTCTGATCTCCTTCACACAAATTATTAGATTTAGGTGATCAACAGCAGTCCTGTGTCAATCTCAATGATGAAAAACATAAAACAACTCAGTTTCATAACAGGAGGGGAAAAGTAACCTACATTTTACAAATAAAATTTTAAAGTGAAAAGAACTTAAAATTATCCAGTGCTTGCTCTGCTACCTTGGTAATACATTCAACAAGCCTAGCAAGGCACCAGCAAAGAGATCTTGCCTTTTATGTGAAATGAATGCCAAGTGCAAAACTGGTGCTATCTTTTTGCATCAGGGAGGAGACCTGGACTCCTTGAGGGATGGGTGGAAACAAGCATCCTCCTCCCACTTCCTCAAAGTAAAGAGCTGATGAGCATGTTTCAACAACAGAAACCTGACTGGGTGTATCCTATATGTGCATATATAAAAACACTTTCTTACTGCCTCACAGGGAACCATCTTCCCCAAATGCATGAATTCATGTAGTCGATGTCGATGATTTACATTAATTACATTTTGAATGAATTAAAGTCTGAATGAATGCAGTAGAGAAATATATTTATTTAGTATGGTTACAAAATACTTACCTAGCTAGTTGAGCCAACTCTTTTTGGGTTAATGGACTTCCTTGCTTGCTTAGAAGATTTTTTAGCAAAATCAGTCTTGTCTGAAAAGAAGATAATAAAATTATCAGATGTAAAACTAACTTTCACGGAACACTTAAAATTGTGCAGCAAGAACAGAATTATGCTTTTGTCAGTTTTGCTTTTGTGCTCCACCAGTTTAAACTTGCCCACAGTGCTTGTGCAATAAGACTGTGCAATATCATCTCTTCAGGAGCAGAGATAAGTACTGGGTAAAAACAAGACCAAGAGCCTAACTACTAGTATCAAGAAGAATTAGAATCTTCATCAAAATTCCTGATCTCCTGCTGAATTGAAAATTAGGAAAATTACTTCTGTCTTTTGCAATAAAACACTCTTGTTCAGCCAAATAAACATGCTCCTGTAAGTCCTACTTCAGACTTGCCCATGTCTGCCAGTCTGTAACCAACACCTCACTAATCAAGAGGTCATGAGCAGCTACCACCAGATTTGCTACTAGTATGAGTGAAAAAAAAAAAGACAAAAACTTAAAACAGTTCCTAGAATTAATGCACAGTGTATATGGTCAAGGTGAGCCAAAAGATAGTTCATGGAACTGTAATCATCCACAAGGGCAAGTTAAGAATTGCCTGTGTCTTAAAAATGTGAGTGGAAACAACACTTACCTCCTCGTTTGGTAAAGACACATATACCCGTTTGGTGAAGCGTCTGGAAGAAACCCAAACATGTATACATTGTTCACACTATTCTATAACTATTTAGCACATACAAATGTTAATTTGCTTTGGTTAAGTGACCAAATTTCACTTTCATCATCAAATTTTAGGAAGCAGAACTAGAGATTTTGAAAAAACTACCAACAACTAAACAAAAAATATGCACAAGCCACTGGTGTCATCTTACTCGTTTTCTGAAGTTGTAAGACTCCTCCCAGAGGGGAAACACTCTAAAGGTAGAAATACCACTGACTACCAGCAATGAAATGAAGCCTCTCTTAATTTTTATGCAAAGAAGCCTTTGGAATAATGTCTTCAGGCAGTGCTGACATATCTATTTTCCTCAGTCAAGAATGAAAAGAGAATAAAGTATGAGTACTTTTAACAAAAAAAGTCCTAAGGCAAATCTACAGCAAGATCTGTAATTGCATGGGATGTCTGAAAACAATATTCACAGAGAAGAAATACTGGATTTCTAGCCAATCTGCAATACTGATCAAAATTTCTCCTTTATTTTGCCATTAAGATCCAAACAACAAAAAAGCAAAATATTAATGAAATTTCAAAACCACTGACTAGACCTCAACAGGTACTACTGTTTCAGACTATTCCAAGACCACCATGACTGTGCAGATGCATCTCAAAAGAAAAGAGCCCTTCTTTGAGAGGTTAAATAACTTAGCCTTGCTGAACAGCTTTTACTTATTGCAAAACTTCAACATGACATTAGGCAAAACCTGTTCTTCATAATGAATATTATCTTAGTGTATATTCAGAAAAAGATGTTTTGATACCTGAGAACAGCATCATCAAGCTCCTGAGGCCTGTTTGTTGCTCCCATCACAAGTATTCTGTCCTCTCCAGAAGACTGCACCTATATAATGTGGGAAGGCAAGCCAGCTCTCAGTTTACACAGTCTATATCAAGCAGAAATACAACAAAACCCGTTAGAGACTTGCCATGGATTCAGCACACTGATGGGATCTTCATATATATTAAGTTTTGGGTTTTTTTCCCATTAAGGTAGGTTCAAAATATTCCTCAGATAATTTTAAAGTAAAAAAACCAGGACAAGGTAAAAAAAACCAAACCCAAACAACAACAACAAAAAATATATTGAAAAACCTAGAGACTTTCTGCTGTTCTGGGGTTTTTATGCCAAACACTGTTTTGAAGCCTACAGGGTGAGAATCAAACCTAAAACTAAAGCATAGCCTGAACCACAAAATCAGAACTGAGATTCATCTAACACAGGTCTCGTACGAATCCAGTAATCAAAACAGGCTATAAAATAACCATAATAGCAGAAAGACACAGCAATTTCCCTCCCAATTCATTCATTTCATACCCCAGATTATGGAGACTTAGACCTTCCAAACTTTAGAGGAAACTCTGGCCTATCAAAGACATTACTTGCTTAGTGTTCAATACTTCATAGATTTGGGTTCATTGGTACTGTGCAATGTTCAAGAGGTTCACCAAAAATACTGTATGACACAGTTACACTTTAAATATTAAGTCAGCAGACTTTACATTACACTTCTTTTTCCCTTTTCATTTTAAGGGAAAACTCTGCATGTGTGTGTAATCTCTGCATATCACTGTCACATTGCATTATTTGTCCTGATTCATCCATTTTGGAGTTTTTCCCAACCTTGCTGCCTCTCCATGTTGTGATCTGCTCCTCCTGTACCTCATTACTATTGCTTCACCACTGTAGCAATATTCCATTGTGCTAATGGAACACAATCTAAATTATTTACTCCAAGAACAGTGCTGTGACAGAAAAAAACTCTGATCTCATTTGTGTGTCCCTCTATGAAATCCAGTTCCTCTTCCGGGGTATTGCATTCATGCCATTAAATACTTCTTACTGAATTCTGTCTTCTCTAGCTTATGATACCAAGAAAAAAAGTTATAGTTCAATAAAAGGTGTACTAACACAGAAATGAATCTTCCTGATGTGTCAGAACTGTGTATACACGAGAAACATATATATATATATTTAATCTGAACTAGTCTCTTGGAAATCCTCATCCGTCAAGTCTCACTACTTGACAGTGCATGCTTGTGACACATATTCCTCTGAAACCAAAAACTATTTAAAAGCCATTTAATCTTGTTTTGCTTTGCCAGAATAAAGAGAAGTGATTCGTGAAGCCATGCAATTGCAGACAAGGATTCAACTCTCCATGACCCCAAAATGCCCCTCTTGCCCTGTAAGAACAGTTGTCCTCACAGCTCCTTTACTACTGCCATCTGTTATCCTTTCTTCTCTGTCCATAATCTTCCCAAGACATTATTACAGCTCATCTCCAGATCACTACCTTTCAGTCCACACTGCATCTTCCAGAATACCACAGTAAGCAGGTAGAAAATAAGGAACAAGCAAAAAAAAGCTGTTTGCTAATTGTGGTGAGCTGGGAGGGAGGCTAAGCTAAGGCCCAGCAGCCAAACCCTTTGTAATTCACCTATAGGTTTTACTGGCAGCCACTATATTAGCCAATTTAGCTAAATCAAACAATATCAAGACTAAATACTTACACCATCAAATTCTATTAAAAATTCTGTTTTTAGACGCCTGCTAGCATCATGTTCACCTTCTCGTCTTTCACACAAAAGGCTATCAACTTCATCTAAAAAAAAAGAAACACATCTTAATGAAGCATACAACATCAAAGTCTTCGTATTTTCCTAAGTTCCTTTGCTAATATAAGGCTCCATTAAAAAAGACTAGGTCTTTATTCTTTAGGAGACAGATCTTAGGAAAGTTTAAAAACTTGTGTGATGTGTTGGCCTTTGAATAGGTAATGCCAGGCACAGATGAGAGGCAAGGGGAAAAACAAGAATCTTTCTGGTGATAAACTGCTACTCAGGACAAGCAAAACATATTTTCATGCTTGATGTTTAATGGACTTACTCCATAAAGACAGTACAGTATTTTTGTTTCAGAGAGCACCTCTTCCCACTATTACCACCAATTAATTAATGCAACAATAATCTAACATGCTTTATACGAACTACTGATTGCCCAGCAGGTAATACCTGAGACAGTTTTCCTGAGCTGCAGAATTACCCAAAAGAAGTTTACCCAACTATTCCAAGAGTTAATTACTCACTAATCTTTGGTAAGTAAGATAATTTAAGAAAGTGAATAAAAGTTAACATTTAAGGTCCTACCAATAAAAATTATAGAAGGTTGAAGTTCTCTGGCTACTGCAAACAGAGCACGCACCAGTTTCTCCCCTTCACCCACCTGAAATAACAAAAAAATGGTTTTTAGAGGGTTAAACATTTTTACTACAAGACAGCTAACAGAAGGACCTACAGACAATCTTGCTAGTAAACAACCACACTCAGTCCATTTATACATATTCAGATTATCACTGGTTCAGTACATACAATGGTATTGTTTACATCTTAAAAGAAACACTACAACTTCTCTTATGATCACAACTGAGTTAACTGTCAAGAGACTTCACTGCCTAAATTACCAGAGTGAAAAGAGCTGGGACCCAACTAAGTCACTTTTTAAGGATGAAAAACCCCACAACCACTCATATGCAATACTGACACTGCCAAGCTGAAAAAACTTTGACACTGCTTTATCACAAGCACAAACCAAATTTTTTTTAGTTCACAAGTCGCTTTTTAAAAACTATGTTCATTATAGGCTAACAGTTCACCAAGGACTCATCAGAAGTCTCTGGCTTTCTTAAGCCCTAATTAAAGCATGGGTGTTTTCAAATCAATGTATTTTACAGACACTACTTACATATTTTGAAGTCAGACTCGCCGCACTGATGTTAAAGAAAGTAGCATTTGATTCTGCAGCAACTGCTTTGGCCTAGGAAAGGAGGGAAAAACAAAAGTACTTTTAAAAGCTATCATACTGAGGATAGTTCTCTGCATCTGCAGTGACCACTCATGTCCTGATGGACAGTTTTGAAAACCTCTATTTCTCCAAAGGGAGTACCTTGCAAATGGTACAGAAACCTTCTGTCCAGGTCACTTATAAATGAGAATGGCTATGCAGGCAAACCAATAGAGAAACTTCCAGACTCCCATAGATTTTTCTAATCCCCTTAGCTCCATAGCCAACTACAACTTGCTATGGAAGAATAAGTCTCCATTTCCTTCCAATTTATCCTGAATAGACATCTAAGCCAGTTTTAACTAATTTAGGGTGGTAATTTAAGGCATCAGTTGGATCAAATCACATAAAAAGTTATGGTGTTTTTTCCCCTTCTTTATCTATGCAAAAGCTATTTTCAGAGGAAAGCTAGGGAAAATAATCAGTTGCAATGCTCATTCAGACTACCCTCTCCTTTAACAATTTCACCATATTCAAGAAATTATGATTCCCTGCTTATAGAGTCTAATTTTAGTGAGTAGCAATTATATTCCAGTATGTCAAACATAACAGATGAGCCTACACGAGCTGCTCTACATTCACACTCCTGCACTTGAGCGCTGCTCCAGCTCCAGTGGCAGCAGCGAGTGCAGCTGCAGGCACACCATGTGACCAGGAGGATGTGCCCGGCTCAGCCGCATCAGGACACTCCATGCTCCCTGCCTGATGCACAGCCAGGGATCTAGCACATCAGGCTGAGGAAAAAAGCTCTGGCTAGGCAGTTCCACAGCAGTATGCAAGTGAGACTATCTCTTTTTTTGCTACTGTGCTCCCTCCCCACTTCCAAACTGTACTTCTAGTATGTTTCAGTGGAGAGCAGATAATTTCTGATTAATCACTGCTGTACAAAACAATTAACCCACTTCCTTTCGCTCTCTCTGAAAATGAAACCTGGACTTGCTTAAGTTATAAAATAGTGCTTGTCATAATGAAAATAATTAAAGAGAGAACAGTTTAGCACTTCCCTCCATAAAATCCAGGGTTAAGAACAATTTTGCCTTTTTATATATAAAATGACACCATAATACATATTCTGTAAGAATGCATAGTTTACTAGTCCAAGCCCCAGACTGAAAGCCACCCCTTGTGGTTACATTTTAAGCCCATGAACTCAAGCATGAAGCTTTTTTCTCACCAACATTGTCTTCCCATTTCCTGGTGGGCCAAACAGCAACAAACCACGTGCGGGAGCTCTCAGACCTGTAAATAGCTGAAAAGGACATCATCATAAGTGATCATCAAAGACTTCAATAAAATGTTCCTTTACCTTTGTGAGAGAATGGTTTAAGACTGAAGACACTGGCTAGCACTGAGAATAACACCAGCACTGCGTGCCACAACAGTACATGCTTTGAGAGAACTACACTCTGTTACTAACTTGACCTAATGCACACCACTATTGTTTCCCAAGCAGAAGCTAAATTATGTTGTAATTGTTCTGTGCCTGGATGCACTGTGCAGGCAGTTTAAAACACTTTCCACAAGACAGACTAGCCTATCAAGTTTAAAGCATCAATTCCAGTTAAAAAGGGAATAATGCAGGTATACAATAGGAGAGCTAAAGTAGTATTCTTACTAACTCCATATGGAAGAACTCCTCCATCTTTCCTTATTAAATAAAACTTGAGACAAGCTTTCAACAAAATTATTTAAAATATTACTTAACAACCACCTTCTCTCTATGCTACTGACAGCCATCTCCTCTCTCTCATTTTGCACTAGATTCATCTTTCCTACTCTATAAAATTTCCCCCACCAAATCTAGCGCAGGCAAGTCACAGAACACGTAACTTTTAGTTATGACTCTTGGCTGTTTCTCTAGCACTTTCTCTTTACCTCTTCCCTCAAAAGTTTCTGTGTTTCTCTTTTGGTCTCACACTCACCCATCCCTTCCAGATTCCAAAAAACAAGCAAAAGCAATAGGAGGGTATCTCATATATATCCCATGTGTAAACAGCACTGTCAGCAGGCACTTCTTTCCACAATATCCATGACAACAAACAGCTCCATTTCCAGTGTTATATTTCTTTCATGACTGACCAACACATGTTTCACTATTATTTCATCATCCACAGTATTTTGTTTGTGCTTGACTCTGATCCTAAAAGTAGTTACCCAGCGATTCACTAGCTCAGTAAGAACACTCCAGTGTTTCTGCTTTCCATGCTGCTCACCACCACATGCATTTTTTGTCTGACTTCTTTTGTTTGAAATAACTCTTCTGGAGTTCCACTATTTTCACACAGCCCAGATCAAATCTATAACTCTTTCTCACCTTGATCATCACCTACAGTTCAGCTGCACTGACATTTATTACTGAGATACACAAAGCTTTTCAAGATTTTGTTAACAGGGTAAGTATACTGAACATGGTCTGAACAAACTGCTAGCATTTCAGCAGCATCTTACCACTGAAATGGTTTCAACCAATGTTTCCTGCTTATGTACCCGACTTTTGCTCTCCTACAAAATACCACTGGCTTGTTAAATAGGAATTTGAGTTCAAAACTCATTAAGATCAGAACTGAACTAGTGTTAATTTACTAAGTATCCCCTTACAGTTGCCACATCTAGTGCTCTTTTTACAAGGAATAAAACCAACCCTACTTCCAAGGAAAGTTTAAAAATTCATGGGATTCTCTGTCCTTATTACATCCCAACCTACACACCAAGGTCAGACCCACTGCTAGCTACAGTAATATGAGACAACCTTATTGAAGATATCACGTTACTGGAAAAGCTACTCCAAGCATCCCATCTCCAAGTCCTTCCCACCTGGCTCACAGTGTTGGTGTCACTGAACAACACACTTGACATACTATTGCACTGTAGTAACAAACATTCTATAATGACACCTTCCTTCTGCATAACATCTGAGCACACACATTTGTTGCCAAAGCTTTGTTCTCCTTACAGCTTGTATTTCTGTGATGCTATGCCAGGTTTAAGGTTTCTTCCCTATGCTGCTTCAAAACTTGTACCTGCATTAAGGGGAAAACCACAGGGCAACTCCAGTCACCTGTCCATGTAACAAATGAGACCCACAAGCAAACAAAAAGTACAAACAGTAGTTTTTCTTCAATAATCATAGAATCATAAAGTGGGACTGGGTTAGAAGGGACTTTGAAGATCATCTCCTTCCAACTTCCCTGTCATGGGCAGGGATATTTTCCACCAGATCACATTGCTCAAAGCCCCTTCCAATCTGGCTTTGGACAACTCCAGGATGGGGTATCCACAACTTCTCTGGCAACCTGTTCTAGTGTTTCATCATCCTCACAGTGAATAATTTCTTCATAATAAACAAATCTAAACCTATTCTCAGTTTGAAGCCATTTTCCCTTGCTCTGTCACTACCTGCCCATGTAAACAGTTCCTCATCAGTTTTTCTTTTAGGTCTCCTTCAGGTACTGAAATAATGTAATAAGGTCAGCCTGGAGCCCTTTCTTCTCCAAGCTTAACAACCCCAATTCTCAGCCTTTCCTTACAGGAGAGGTGCTTCAGCCCTCTGATCATCTAGCTGTTCCTCCTCTGGACTTGCTCCAACAGGTCCATGCCCTTCCTGTGCTGGGGACCCCAGAACTGGACACAGCACTGCAGATGGGATCTCATGAGAGCACTGCAGGAAATCATTGCATGCAATTTCCTCAAAAGTACTGCAACTTTTAATAAGTTCAGCTTAAGAAAATTACCCATTTAATTTTTTCTTAAAAGTAGCTCATAAAATTCCAGTAGTATGCAGAGTAGGTCTGAATTTAAACAGTAAAACAGTAGATGAGGTACCGTATGATAAATAAAAGCCTAAATTATCAACTTCCATACAGCCAAGTAAAGAGGAAATCTGACCTCAAATGTTATACATCTTAGTGTATTTGGCTGTTCACAACACTTCTTTGCATCCTTTCTATCTGTGAATAAACTATTCAGTGTTTAACCAACATTGTGACAGAGAGGATGACCACAGTAACGTTTTTCCCAAACGGAGAGTGTCATGACCTAATTTAACTATACAAATCTCTCCCATTTACCCTTCCAGTTGTGGGCTTTGTCCTTTACAGGGCCATATAGGGTTGGACACACAGCTATAGCTATCTGGAACAGTCAGCCTGACAAGCAGTGAGAAATTTTGTTTGTTTGCTTCTGCTGTTTGTTTGTTTTTTGGGGTTGAAGGGTGTTTTGGTTTTGTTTGGATTTTTCAGGGGTTTGTGGTTTGCTGATTTGATTTGGGCTGGAGTTTTTAGGGAGGCTTTTAGGTTGTTTTTGCTCCAGTCACTTTCTGCAACATTGATTAACCAGAAGACAAGGAATTTCATGGTACTATTTTAACACATAAATCCTTTTCCAAGATAGCTAGGACCCCACAGCTACTTGCAGCAATCACAATCAGTAAAAACAGGATTCAAGAATCATAATTTCAAGTGTGAAGCACAGCACATTTCTTTAATCCTGTCACAGACTGATAACAATACCCAGTTGCTTACCTCAGGTCTAAGAGAAGGAAGGATAACAATTTCTTGCAAAGCTTGTTTAGCCAGTTCCTGCCCTGCGATATCATCAAATTTGACAGCTGGCCCACTAACAAAGAAATGGAATACTAATTAGTCTAACAATGAGATACTCTTTTTCAGCTGCAGCTGACTAATTTAATGCATTTGACTATTTATACAGAACCCTTTTGAGAAAAGTCTACAACTTATATATTGTTAAGCATTTTTAAACATTCTTCTGCCAAAGTAACAACAATAAAAACCCATCCAAAAATCCTCAAAAAACCCCAACAAAGTAGAAGTACTAATTTCATTCCAAGTGGACCAAGATTGTACTCAATGCATAACTGATTTACTGGATTGAAAAGCCTACTTTTCTTCACACTTACCTATCAACAACTTCATTTAGGATAAGATTAGCAAGATTGCTGTCCACATTTCTAAATATCTTTGTGTCTTTCTTTTTTCGAGGAGCAGTGGTAGGAGTAGAAGGCTTATTGGTTCTGCTATTTTTAGGGGCAGCCTGGAGAGGGGGGAAAAAGAAAAAAGAAATAAAACCACCAGAAACCCCAGATTAATACTTTGAAAGTGTAGTGTTAAACAAAATAAGATCTACATTTCATTTGTCCCGGTAAAACTGCGTGTTAACAAATACCCAATATTCTACTGCTCTATTTTGCTACAAATCATACTACCACATTAGTCAGCCACAAGTAGGGTATCTTAGGCTACAGTGGTGAAGAGTGTTTGGTCTGAGGTTTTTTGTTTGATAATTAATTTAACTATAGTATTTCACCCAGCATGGAAATAAGCATCACAAACCATCTCAGGTTCCCAATACCTATTAGCAAGAATTCCTACTGCTGTCATAATTTGTAACAGGCCACTTAAAAGTCTTCATTTTATATTATAGCAACAATAATGTTTTAACAGAACAGTTATGTTCAGTCCATTCTGCTCTGTTCTACTTTACTGGGTAATATGGATGGAAGGAAGGGAAAAAGATGGGTCAACAGAAATGCTGTAATTTTCTGTATTCTTACTACAGGACTTATTTCTGTGCCTCAGTCCCAGCCTAACCCTAATTTGCTTTTCAATGGGGTTGCAAAACAACCTGTGCATGCATGCATGCTTTGGAAGAGAAGAACATGTAGGGGGAAAAAAATCCTGTAGTTCTGCAATAAGAGGTTTTACCTCCATCTTTTACATAATAGAACAAACATTTATTTTTCTTCTAGGTAACTTTCAATCAGCTTCCCATGCAATTTTAAAAACAAGTAGTATGTATTACTGTGATTACACTTCAAATCCTTTTGCCCACGCACCCACATGATGCCTTCTAATTTCTAAAATCCATTCTGCAGCATATCTCAAAGAGACCTGGCTAAAAATTTGGAGTTTCAGTGTTTTCCAAAACTTTCTGCTGCTACAATACTGCAATTAAGGTATTAAATCCAAAGCTTCATCTAGAATTTACACTTGATTTTCAAGTGTATACTTCCATATTTATCCTCACTGTACCTTGTGAGCTGAAGGTGTAGGATTAGGTGCTGGTCTAGACACAGATGATGATACCCCACTGTAGCTGGGCGTTCTGTGGTGACCTGAAAGGCCTGTGGATCCGGATTTTGCAACAGTCTTTGAGCGAGGAAGGGAATTACTTGTGTGTGTTAGGGGGTCCTTCTTTTTTGGAACTGCTCCACTTTCTATAAAGAAAACCAGTGTTGTAAGAACATTTGCAGCAGCCATACTTTTACCATCAACTGCAAGTAGAAAACAGAACTGTTGAAACATATAATACTGCATTATAGAAGAACAACGCACATTTCTTCAGAGATTTAGTGTTTTTAAGAGGATACTGACTGCTTCACCTACAGATAAAATTCTAATTTTTAGCTCTCAAAATGAACCCTAGTTAGTCATCTTAGAAAAGCCAGAGATAACTTAGTCCCATTATCAAGGGAAGAACACCATCTGTTCCTTATGATGCAAGGTCTTCTGCTGTCTTATTTCTCAGGAATTCTTAAAAATAATCATTACAATAACCCCCAAATTTCAAGCCTTCAGATTCTGAGTATTGATTCTTTAAGTGATGTTAGCAGGCTAGTTAATTGGATGCCAGTTAACATTATCTAACACCTTCCACACAGAATGCATTTTAATCTGGAAAAATTACAGTAGTAGTTATACTTGCAAGTGATTGTCAGTTGTTTTTTCTTCCAACTTGCTTTCATTTTAGGAATCTCAAGGTGTAAGTAAATTCTGAATGGACAACTCTATGCAGCTCACCTACCTACATTAAAAATTAAGTCTTAAAATATGTTTAAACATTACCAGACATTCCACTCACTCTACTTATTCACCTCCATGATGAAGCAAGAAAGTCTGAAATTAGGTGACAGATAAACTTGAAATATTGGCCACAGGCCATCAAACTACAGAAAGCCATTTTGGTCCAGAGTAAACAAAACAGCACTTGATGTCTACATTCTCTGTATGGGATACAGGATAAAATAAAATTCTTTGGCACAGAAATGACAAGTGTAAAATATCAAATCAGATAAAGAGGTAAGAAAGTGATACAGCAAGCAGGCAGGTTGGTCAGGCTGGTTAACAATTAGAGCATAGCTTTAGATTAGAGTGTTTTTTGTGGTGGGAATACACTACTGGATACTGTCTAGACACTACTGTTGTCGGCAATGGAAACCACAAACACTGTCTTATTTTATATCCTTTTAAAAGGATTAAGGAGTATTTTGATTAGGTAAGAGAAATAGGGCATCAGAGGTAAGGAAGCTCAAAATAGATTTCACCTACAAGTGTCTTCACTAGGATTGTAGCAACTTGCAACTCAATTTGACCTGCTAGTCTTAAAGAACAGGCCAAAGAATTCTGATTTCTAAGGAAAGTAGTGACTCTATGAAGAATTTTTAACTTATTGCAGTTCAATGAAAAATACTTTAAGTAGCAAGCCTTGTAATTTTAAATGTGCTGTTTAAAAAACTCAAAAAATACTTCAGTCAAACAGTAACATGAAAGGATCAATTAATTACTACTATGTTCTCAGCCTCTTGAAACATACTACCAGGACCTAATCTCTACACAGCCTGCAGGTATCCTTAATAACTAACTGAAAAAGTTTCTAAAGCCCTTCTTCAGTCACAAATCCACCCCTTTTTAGAGGTACAGAAACTCTGCAGGGGTCACAATAAACACTACAGATGTATCAATATACAAGAAACAAGGCAACTTCACTAATATAATTAAGTATATTTACCATTTTCTTAAAAACAAATGAACAAATAAAAGCAAGAAAAACCACCAAAACTGGCTAATGACTAAACCACACACAGCTCCAGAGCTGGATACATTTACATAGTAATTTCTGCACAGGAATTTCCAAGTCAAAAACTCTTTAAAATTAGGTATACTTAGTAACTTTCAAGTTCAAAAAGCAATATATGACTCTACTAAAACATCTAGCTACTCAGCACATTGACTGGTCTAATTTAATCAAAAGGTGGCACTCAGTTTGGTTGGGTTTTTTTTTAGTCTGCCTCAACCTCATTTGCACAGCTGGCTCGAAGTCAACATGGGAAGGCTTCAAAACCCTGAATTAGTTTTTCTCCATGTTCTTCACCCTAACATGCTGTTCAATTACCTCACTCTCCCAGAACCACTCCCACACACTGAGAATACACAGATACTGCAATGTTGAGGGTCATAAAATTGGACAGGTAAGGAATAATTCAGGAAATTGGAAACCGAAGGGAGGAAAGAAGGGAAAAGTGACAAGGTTTAATACAGATTATTATTTACTCTAACTGCACCTCCAGGACTCAAGGCCTGTAAGTTTACATGTTTTGTTGTCAGTCCTGATGGGTAGCACATAAAGAATCACTGATTAATAGCTTCTGTAGTTGTTTGTAGAATGTCAATTCCAGAGGGATTTCATTCATTTTATATACAAATTTTCATTGAAGTAACAAAAATGTTATCAAATCATTCAGAATTACAGTTTATCTAAAGCTTATCTATTTCTAAAGCATGAGGTGTTTAGGTGTACATCACAGGTCAGACAGCTCCTACTGTTCCATTATGCAAAATACATATTTTGCTATAACAAATGCAAAATCCCCCAAACACATTTCTTACCCATTTTTATTTGTTATCTACTCAAAGTCTGGGAATACACAGCAAGCAACTTTAATGCCTTCACAATATCTCCAGCAGCCTTTCGCCAAAGGTTTCACTGTTCTGTACAAAACAATAAGGAAGTACCTAAAACATGTTCTAATCACAAAGAGACACCATGGAATTTTTTCAAGTGTATTTGAATCAATGAACAGTTCAACTGTCTACTTCATACACACTTATAGAATAGCAATAGATGCTTAATCAGTTTGATCTTACTGTCTAATTCTGGACAGAATAATTTACTTCATAGCTCCAGGCTAACACCACTGGATTACACAGACATAATAGCTGTCTGGTCCTGAAAGCATCCCTGCAATTTTAATCCAAATACACACACAACACAAATTACAAACAAGCAAGTAGCAAAATTTTGTCTGAAGTTTTCTATTGGTTAAATTGTGATAAGATGTAGACACAGGTGCCCAATTTCAGACTCCCTTAGACAGAGAAATATTAGAAGTTATTCTATAACATAGATACTTATAATAAACTGATTTTAAAGATAAAGTACAAATAAGTTTTAACAAATCTAAGAGAAGCTTGATTATATTAAATACCTGGAAATGCAAAAACAATCTTAAAATTATGCAAGTGTAGCTCATTTATTTAATATAACAATATCCTTTATATTTCTAAAAAGCAAACCCATTATTTTTTTTTTCTGCACTTAAACCAAATTAAAGCACATGTCAATAAACAAGCTTCTACTAGTCTCTAATGTCTTAAGCATCCAAAAGAAAGTTTAAATTCAAATTAACAGCAGCAATTCCGGTACTGCAGAACAATTTCCAGCCTTCAATTGTGACATCTTAAAAATCATCAGGGAATATTCCTCAGAAATTCTCTACATAAGCCTATTGAGAAGTAAGATGAAGGGATTAAAACAAGTTATTTTACACGGTCCGTGGATACCAAGTTGGAAGAAAAATCCACCAGTCTAAAATTATCTGTAACTTTATGTATGCTGTTTCATTGAAAAAAACCAACAAAACCAAAAAACTTTAAATTGCTGCTTTAAACTTGCAGCAATTGCAAGACTGATCATTATTCAGGATCAGCATTCACAACAGCCCCCAAAATCACAATTCTTCAAGAATTCAATTCAGATTTTTCAAACAGGTAGATGCAAGTAATAAAGCTACTTAACAGAAAGCTCCAGCAGCTAAGAAGGACATGATGCATGTTTTCAATGGTAGCACAGCTACCCAAACCAGGAATTACAGCTGTTCTCCTTTCTGAACTGACAGATCCACATGAAAGATCTGCTTTTGTCAAATTATGCTGTTAAAAACAATCTTATTGCTACTTGTTCTTTCACTCGGGGAACTCCTTTGAAAACTTCAGTATTAAAAATAGAACTTCTGCACCATGACAAATACTGCCAGTATATGCTTACTATTAATGTCAAGCCAGCAACTCCTTCCAAGTGAAAACTGAGATAGAATACAAGCTAGCTGCACAGTATTCATGCTGAGGTAATAGAAATGTAATGCTCTCTCTGGCCATCCATCAAGCTGGGATTTACACATGAAATGGTATACATGGGAATTACTGTAATGCTCTAAGTATTGTATGACTAGTAAATGAGTTCATAAAACTCAAACTCTGCCTTTGGCAAGACTGCCATAATCTCCTTCCCTAGCCTGTGTTAAAAAAAAGAGAAAACTACAATCCAAAATACAAAGGAAAACAAGCACATTTCAGGGGGAAAAATACAGGTAAATTGTTTTGCATCTAATTTAAGACTGCTATGAGAAGAAGAATTATGAATATTAAATTAATATTATTTCCAAGTAAAGGCGAGATCAAGGCCACTTGTTATTACTTTTAAGACATAGCCCTCTGCAACTGAAGGGCAGATGATACTACTGGTATGAGGTCTTGAAAAATCTCAGTATAAATTTGGAAGATAAATTTCAAGAAAAATCTCTACCTATTCATTTAAGTTTGGAAACCAGTAATGCTGAAGACAGGGATAGGTAGTCATTTGTGTTAGAATCAAGTAAATTGGGCAGGAAGGCTGACACAAATAGTATCTTGAGAAAACGAAGAATCTCAAATCAGTAACACTGTGAAAATACAAAAATGTGCAACACAGCTGTGAGAATAGAATCTTACACAAAAATACAAAGCAAAAACCTCTGCAAAGACTTTGGCCTTTAAAGGCAAATGAAAGAAAGCAATGTAATTTTAGACCAAATGATGGGCAAAAAGACACTTGATGTTAAAACTAAGAATGAACATGATCATGTTTCATACTTTATAAAATCCTGAACTTTTAAAAAGCCTAACCTGATTAGTCAACAGGGCAGGCAACACTTTCCACACACAGAAAAATAAGGTTATGCCAGAGCCCTGTGGCTCAATACCTCTGAAATACCTCTACCTCCTCAGGTAGAGACAACAGTCCTCCTATCTGAAGTAGCCTGCAAACTGATTTTGTAGTTTTCTAAGAAACTCTGTCATCTACTTTGTGGTTTTAAATTATTAGATCTGTCCATATGAAAATAATGTTTTACATGTATAATGGAAGAATAACAGCAAGATGATTAGCAGACTGAAACATAACCATCTATTTACATTGCTTTTAAGAAAAAAATGTATTACTAGTATGTTCTTACAAAAAAACACTCCCTCACCCCAGAAAGACAGAAAAAGCAAGGACAAGAGCATAGACACTAACCATTTAAGAAATCCAGATGCCTACCAATAGACTGACTTTCATGATACTGTATCAGGGATCCCTCAGCTGGACTTCCACAACTTTACACCTTGTTTATGTACAAAAAAAGTTCATTTCTGCTATATTAATAGTTTGGTTCAGTCTTCTGGGAAAGGATTAAAACAACATTCTTTGACAAAATGCAAGAGCTCCTGTCATTTTCCCCTCATTTTAATTGCATATCACTTTATTGATGTAAAAACCCCCAGAATTCTAAAGTTGCTTAATGCATACTTACAATATCATAAAGGAAGAGCTAATTAATGTAGGCACAATGTATAACCTTTATATCCAACACTGACACTTTCTAAAACAGGTTTAATGTAACTCCTTGAAGAATATTACATGAGCAATAATTTCTAAAATGTTGCCTTAATAAATAGATTTGAATTCTAGGACAGTCATTGTAAGAGAAACTTGAATACTACAAAATAAAACAGTGTTGTCAAACCATGGAAAGTATGGAAAGTATTTTATACAAAGCCTTTAAAAACAGAAATATAAATTTATTTTAAAGCTGGTGGGGCCAGAATATAGCATTGCATTATTTCGTCTTGTAATACACCAGGAAGTGAGAGACATCCCCTCAATAGGTGCTGGTAAAACCAAACCCACCTGACTGGAGATGTCCATTGCGGCATGCCAGGTTAGTACTGTCATTATAGACCTCCATTTGCGGCTTGGAAATTTGCAAAACTGCCTGCAGCTTCTCTACATAGTAGAACAGAGGGGGAGGGAGGAAAAAGGACAAAATAAACAAACAAAAACCAAAAATGAACCAAGAAAATTTATGTATGTTGAACACAGAAATGCCAAGTTTGGCTTTGTTACAGTTAAAGATAAAAGGAATATTTCTATCTACTCTACACATTCAGCAAATATGTAAGAAAATTCTGTTAGTATAAGCATGACTGAAAACAGCTTTAAAACTCACCCTCTATGGCTGAGTTAATTACAATAATCTTTCCAGTCTGGTGATTGCAGTTACTTCAAAAACCATGTTCAGGATTAATTCAATTTAATTTAATTAATATTCATGTTGATAACACATTTCTGAATGTCCTTCTCAAGGTGTTACTTTTGACCAGGTGCAAAGAGTCCTCACTTCTCTGCACAATAAATATTCCACTTAAGTAGTAACAGCTAGTCAACAACATTTTACAGAAACCTTCAAACTTCAAGCAGAACACCATACACATATTACCACGATGTCATTTGACACCTCTGTTTAGATATTTAATTGCCTTGAAATTAAGGCAATAAAGTTGTCATGCAATTTGTGTTCTTTAGGAAGACTAACTTCAGAACACCTGAATACAGTATTTATAAAGCAAAAGGAGAAAGAAATTAACTCTGATAAGTAATGAAAAACAGCCAAACCATAAGTCAAAGAGGCATAAGGCTGCAAATACAAAAGAAAAGTTAACCTGTTCCCTGTAGCCTAACTACCACATCTCTTTTCCCACTGCAGTTAAAAACCTCTAAGCCATACTTTTAGGGCTCTTTACTACCTCTCCCACCTTTATTTCACACACACTCCTCCAGTTTTAAAACCCAACCATGGTCTGCAAGGATGTAAGGCATACACTGTCAAGCTCTCTCATTCCCTCCTGCTTTTTTTCCCCCTTCTGCTCCCCCCACAAGAGATAACACTACCAAGAAACTGCAAGAAAAGAGATGCCAAGTAGAAAAGCAATGTTCTCTGGTACTATGAAAGCATATATTGCAAAAGCAGACAAATTCTACTGAAAATGTACACAATTAAGATCATAAATAATCTGGCTGGAGGAAGAAGTGCCATTCAGAGCCTGCAGATGGTACAACCAACAAGAACGAGCACTTTCTTCCTCAGGCTTCTTTACCTGTTACAGATCTTTCTGCTTTGTTCCTTTCTTCTTCCTGCTCCTCATCACTCAATGCTTAGCTTTCCTGAATAGTATCCTTACACCTCATAGTTAAAGTGATGGTTTAACAACATTTAGGTTGAACAAGATGTAGTTTAGAAGGAAAACTTAGTAGTTACAGGCATTTATGAAAAGCTAAAGCTCAAGATTAGTGTAGGTACACAAAGTTTACTTCATTCTAAATTGAAAGCTTTGAAGAGTCAAGAGTAAAACAAAAAATGTCAGTCACACAAGAACAGCCTGCGAACAACCACAAGCTCTGCAACTTACAAGAAGTTACCCTTGTAAGCTTTCCTCTCCAGGAGGGTAAGGAAAAATCCTTTTAGTAAGAATGACTGCAGACAGTGCACTACTTTAGGGGACACAGCGCTACCAAACGAGGCAGCAGAATGGTCTGCTCCCTGCCCAGTGCATGCCACCCAAATGAAAAGAACATACAGAAAGCTCAGGAAACAAAATTACCATTAATAGATTTTGAAGATATTAGATAGTCAGCTGAGTTTTGGGGAACATTTCTGAGCTTAATAAAAAAACTTTCTAGTGAGTGACCATAATAACATCAATTCACTTGTGCAGGAATTCAGGAAATGCTACTACTTGCTTCAATGCTACAATCTGACACTGGGGTTCCACTACAATTATCAATGCTTAGCTAGTTCCACAAATTCAGGAATTCCAGAACTCCAGCCACAGAAAAAAATGTACTCCAACTGTTGTCCAGTTTCAATTCAGAGTCCTCTCATCACATTACCTATAAACATTTCATTTTAGTATTGCACATAAAAGTTCAAAAGGCAAATATATCACCTTTCTTTAGGGACAGTATACCTGTAGGTTCCTCTGGAAAAACAAAAGTAAATTGAGCTTTTAAATATTAATCCAGGGAATTATAGGATACCATCATCTTCCATTTAAATACTTTCTCCCTATTTTTCCAGACACTGACAGAAAGTTCACAGATTCTCATTCATTATTTCACCTTCACGACACAATGCTGACATAAACCTACCAAACAAAGAGCACTGCCTTATTTAGGCAATACTAGAGCTTGAGTTCAAGGAAACTAATTTCTACTTAAAAATGCTACCCTGTAACATAAGCATGAAGCAAAAAGCACCATCTCCTCCAAGAAAGTGAAATATTCCAAAAGGTGTCCATTGAACACTGTATCTACACAGGCACAACAGAGGAACATTAATACCCTTCAAAGAGGATACTGATGACAGATATTTCAATTATGTGTCACATACACTCTTCAACCAAAATACTGAAGCTACACTAAATACACAGGAAGGCACTTGTGACAGAAATCTGTGTCCTTACAGAAAATCTCTCTGAAATGAGAGAGCACAGACTGGTAAAACACATAAATAGCATTAGAATTGAATAGTGTTGCACTGGCCATTACAGCCATCTATCTTTAGGAACAACAGGCTGCCAAGTTCTGTCGATCAACTGTAGAAAACAAATACCCTCCTGTCATTCTAAATACATCAAATTTAATGACTCTAACATGGGTGATCAGTCATCCAGGAGAGACCAGGTGTGTGAAGACCATCAAAGCAACATTTAACCACCCAGCTAACACACCCTAAACCATGTAAAAAATGGGGGGCCACCACCAAATCAAATGGAAGAATTTTGAAGTCCCCTGACAGCCACCACAACCCAATATTGTCAATGGACTGTCAAAACCATCAATTCCCTTTGAGATGACCTGAAACACGCTACCAGTCACTTCAGCTTTCAGACTGTGTCACAGGACAGCTTTAAACGGAGTAAGATACATAATTTAGACTCAGGATGAAAACAAGGCTCAAAGTAGAAAACCCATCATCCACAGTGGGTAGCTCCATCATCTTCCAACACTGAAAGGCATCAGTGGTGTGATGACTCAGTGGTAACACATGGGTGTGATCAGACATCACATGCTCACCACAGTGTCAAACACCCCCATCAGTGGGGTCATGCAACTTAAAGTTACACTGATGCACCAACACTTCAAAAAAAACCAAAACAAAACAAAAAAACCCAAAACAAACAAAAAAAAAAACCAACCAACACCCAACCAAAAAACCAACAACACTGAGCTCTTTCAAGGGACAGTTATAATCAGCATGGCTCAATTTTCATTTTCTATGTACTACCAATGTAACCTGCTTGACTGGATGGCATTTGAGTTAGGCAGTCTGCAATCACATCTCCCTCTAGCAAGCAGGATGAAATAGTTGGCATTATTGTCTGGTTTGCTTTATCCTTTCAGCTAATGTAATAAAGGACTTGCCTATTCTGACTTAAGAAAGGGAGAAATTCCACAAAGCAGAAAACGCTCTTATGAGTTCAATTCCTAGGAAAAAATACTTCATTAAACTGTAACAGCTTCAAGAGCCTCATGCTTAATTCAATTACAAAAGGATATTTACACCACTCAAAAACTTCCACATATCTGTTACTATAAGTAAGAGGCTAAAAGTGTATTTAAAATGGCACACGGAATTCAACTCTAGATTACCTTAAATTTCCACAAAATCCATGTAAAATGACAGACAAAAATAATAAGAAAATATGCTCCCAATACTTCAAAGTTTGTTAGATGGCATACAATATTACTCAAATAGAACCCTAATGATCAAACTTGTAGGGATTTAAAACAACTGATATATCCCTCCAAACCACATATTTTGCCTTCCTAAAGGGCACATGACTTCATTTGCTCCTTTTTATCCAAATTTCCCTTTTCGGTACATCGTATGAAGCACGTCCTCAGCAAAAATTAACAAGAACCTACGCAAACCAAAGTGTTAAACTGATCATTCAAAAATAAAAATTATTTTGCATCAACTAATGTAATAAACACTATTCTATCTGTTTACCTTTCAATCTGCACTCTGAAGTAAACAAATGGCATGTGATCACACATTCAGGTAGTAGAGATGAATATACTTCAGGGATTTTTGTGAATCTTACTTTTTGTTCCTTTTCTATTAGATCACAGCAAGTAAGCAACTTATCAACACTGCAAGCACTACTAAAGTAATACAAGCAAGGATGAAGCACTACCCACAAAACACTTCAATTTCACTGTTACTTCAAGCCATACCTTACCGAAGATTGTTACATGTAATCACTTTCACTCTATTGTTCCCTAGTATTTCACATTACCTCAAGAAGTCTGCCTTTAACCCTTTTAAGTGGAAAACATCTTTTCTCCATATACTAAAACTGTATGAAGAAACACCCATATTAAAGCATAGAAGACAGATGCCTCTTTCACTTCCTAACCCCTTCAATTTTTTTCAAAAAATACTAAAGGCATTAGGAACTAAAGGGAAACAAACGGGCTCACTTCCTTGAGCCTGTCACAACTTCCCTGTCAATGATCAGTGAGGACCACAGAGCCATGAAGTGTAAGAGGAGAAAAGAACCCAAATTTTCCCATCTGCTCTATATGCTCCTAGAAGAATGAGTTAGTACAACTCCACAGAGGAGAGGGTAAGATTAAAGATATGCAAGTTAAAATCAAGTACATTTGTTAGTGTACCCATAAAGAGCAATTTAAAAAATCCCTTATTTTACTTTTACTGACTGAACTGAACATTTTCAAAGATTTAAATTTACAAGATGCACTACACAGTGATCTGTTGTTTGATGGGAGGGTTTTTACTCTGTTAAGAACTTATATACAACACTTAATTTTAATAAAGCTAAAGTTACACAACACTATACTTGGAAAATATGACCGTACCTTCCAATTTTAAAAAAAGAACACTACTAGAAAAGAATCAAGAAAATTAGAATTTCACAATCTTATGGTCTACATGATGTTAAATAATTATCATCATTATTATTATTTATCAATAATAAGGAAAATTGTTAATATAAGTGACAGCAAAATCAACAGAATATGAAGTGGTTACACTTACAAGAAGCACACTTGGCACTCATGATCAGCAATGTATCATACATTTCACTACAGTACTAACAGAAAAATCCTGAACAAACTCCACCAGGAGTTAATCAAGACTTCCTCATTTTATGACTCAAGTGTGCTATGATAAAAAGACTTCTCAGTTACTTTTATACCTGAAAGTGGGTCATGAAATTTCATTTTCAAAATCCATCAACAGCACTTAGTCCCAACTGAAAATTAAACTAAAGAGACCCTACAAAGATAATGACTCCTTCACTTTAAAAATCAAAGTAATATTTTAGAAGAATACGTTAAATGAAGTTGTGCAAATAATTATAAACTTTCCAAAGTCATGAATTGTAACTGGTACCTAAAAGCTGCAACCGATCCTTGGCCATTGCCAAATTTGTCATCATTTTAGATTGGAGACGTCGAGCCCGTTCACACTGATCACCTTACAAAGAAAAATCCATGTTAAAACACAATTTCGTAAATTAAGTGCTAAAATACTAATACCCAGCCTTCCCTCCTCCTCCTCCCACCCCTTATCTATCCCCTCCATTATGGAACTTCATTACAAAACTAGTGAAAAAAAACTCTAAAGCTTCCTATTTAATCGAGATGTTAAAGTTAGTTAACACTCTCTGCTTTACAACAGTGCTTACAGAGAGATGGGAACCCAAACACTGCTTTGCATATTGTCTAACATTGTCTAATATTTCATGCTGACCTAACATGTCCCTTGTCTCTGCATTTCTCTGAACAGAAATAAAAAAATGATTTTTTTTAAAAGCTGAAAAGTGACTGAGAGGCAAGTACAATTTGAAGGAATTGATTTTGGAAAAATGAACAGATTTAAATTCAGTTGACTGTGTCCCTTTACATTTCAAAACACACAGAATTAGACATTAACACTTTCTAAGAAATACTGCCTGTTCAAGTCAAGCTTTTTTTTTTAAACTGTGCAATTTATACAGGTTATATCAAATGCCACTGGTATTGCCCCCTAAGTAAGATCACCACATACTTCTGAACACAAGTAAGGGAATAAATACAAGTCTGCAAAAACACTTACAGGTTTAGGTTTGGGCAGGTGATTTGGGTTATCATTATTATATTACTTTGAGGACAGAAATTTTCAGCCAGTCCTTCACTACATCTGTATTTCTATGGTACACACCTACTTCTACACTAAAGGTTAAAATGTTTCCCCATAGAGAGATGGCATTCTTCCTTTGCTGGAAATGTTCAGTTATTTTGGCCTAAGTAATTCAGAAACACAATGTCAGGCCATTCCAAATCAGAGGTTTCTTTCTACATTATACTGAAGGGAATATAAAATTCTGCATAAGTGAGAACATGAACTGTCAACTTCAGAAAATCAAATCAAAACTCAGTATTTTGGCACTCCCATTATATAAGAAATCACATGTTTTACTTAACAGTAACATGAACTCCTTATGATTTTGCAGAATCTGAAAATATTTGGAGCAAGATTTGCATGTGGTATAGACCAGAATATTAAAGGTGGAACAGAGAAAAGTGCTCACCTATAGCTAAAACAGGAATAAGAAAGATCCTTATGAAGTACAGCAGGCTGCTCCTAGCCCCTACCATATTTAGTAATATTGATTTCTCACTTCAAAAAAGCCATAAACCAAAATCAGTTCCACAAAACTCAAAACTGGCTTACCTTGACCAATTACTAAGACAGCTATTCCTTTTTCCAGTTCTTCAATTCCTTTCTTATACCATTCAACAGCTTGTTCCTTTTGTCCTGCTTAAAAAGGAAGTGAGCCCATTATTTTCTTGAACGAATTAAAGCTTAGGAATGGTTCTACATAATACTGCATAAAACAAGTAAGAGAGAGGAAGAGATATTGTAACAAAATCCTGTGATTTAAAGGAAGTCTTAAAGGGACACTGTCAACTTCATAGCTATTTAAATATCAAATAAGCTTTTCTATTAAAAACAGGTACTACACCAGCCTCAAATCACTTTTGCCTGTTATAAGAGTAATTCATCTGACTTAAAGAAATAATCCCCCCTCCCCTGCCCCAAAAAAAAGATTAAAAAGCTCACCTACACATATTCACTCCCAACAGAAATGGTGAAATTAACAGTTTTTACTTCTGAAACCCAACATAAGCAGTGAAATTAACAGTTTTTACTTCTGGAACATCAACTAGAGATCTGCCTCTTACTCCTCCGGTGACAGCCAATAATAACACTAATAATAGCCAAAATAAAAGTAGAAGCACAGAAACTCAAGAAGAAAAGCAACAAGTCTAAGACACTACACCAGAGAGATGAGAGACACTTCTCCTCTGGTTACCTTTTGTGCAGTGCAGCTCATTTGTCATGAGGGCATTTCTTAGTTTAAGCTATTATGAAACTGCTGTATTACAGGTGTGTGTCAACTTCCCCATGAAGCAGAACACAGCAGAGTCAGAGCTCGCCTCTGTACCAACCACGTCCATCCTGAGTGGATTTTACAGCAAACACAGCCATGAACATGCCTGTACCTGACCTAAGCCATGTGACACCATGACTGCAAGTCAACCACTGAAGACCAATCTACTTCATAAAGCTCCCTTTCCATAAATACTCTGCATTAAAAATGAACATGCCTGTACATGGAAAAACACTTTTGCAACATAATTATATCACACTAAGCATGCATTTCCTCAGAGGAATATAACAGATTAGGTATTAGAACATAAAACCTGATCAGCATTAACAAACTATTAGTGGTAGAAAAACGAAAAATGCCTACAATGAAACTTCAGGTATCATTACCCTAGTTTCAGATGACAATGTTTCACAAAACTATTCCTAACTGCCAGTAGTTGTGTGCTTCTACACTCAAATCTTTTGAATCTTTTGATAACTTCAGTCACAAACCTATCTTCTAGCAAATTTCAGTATTAGTAAAAATATTGCAATACATTTCTAGAATCCTCTTCAGGGTTTTCTCTTGCTCCTCTTCAGATTAAAAAAACATATCTCTTATTAATAACATTTGGCAAGTTCCCCAGTGCAGATAATTTCATGCTTTGCTCTTCTTACCACCACAAAGCACAAAAGCACCTGCCTATAGTCATGAATACCTTGGGAGCTATATCATTACTGTCCTTTCTTCACCAGCCTCATATATCCTGACTGTTAAGGACAAAGCTACATAAATTAAATCACCCAAGGTGAGTGACTTCAATCCTCTCTTTAGACTTTTTCTTTAAGCTTCTTCTCTCCACCACCCACAGAAACAGTTTTGACTGCAGTGTAAACCGCAAATCTAATACTGATTATAGCTAAATAAAATCCTGATTTGAGATGATTCCACCCACCTCTGCTAACAAAGCCTGAATGGCTTTGTTATTCTTAGGGGCAGCTGCAAACATGCCAAGGTCATCATTAAAATTTCACTTCCAGCTTTTAACTGGAGAAAGTTTCCAAAGCACAATACCACACCAAGCTATTTGCAAAGGTTGTGCTCCAACTCCACACAGAATGGTTGACTAGTTCTCAGGGATTATGACATTAAAAATAAAATAAATGTCACAGTCCTTGGAAGTTGCTGACTTGCTGTATTGGCTCTAGCAGAATGGAGCTCATTTTCCTTAAACAGCCCCAATGTCACTGTGTTTTGGATTTGTGACCAAAACAGTTGATAACACAGGAATGTTTTGAGTATTGCTGAGCAGCACAGCCTCAAGGTTTTCTTTTTCCCACACAGATCCCCAGTGAGGAGGCTGAGGGTGAACAGGAAGCTGGAAGAGGACACTAGCAGGATGACTGACCCAAACTGGCCAATGGAATATTCTGCATCATACAATATAATGCTCATCAATAAAAACCTGGGGAGATGAATAATTGAATGGGGGCTGTCTTCAAAGGCAATCGTGGCTTGGAAAGATGTCTCACTTTTTTTTTTCCCCCCTCACTTTTGCTCCTCCTATGCTCTCCCCTGTCCCACTGAGAAGAGCAAACAAGAAGCTGTGTGGAGGATGCTTAACTGCTTGCAGGGGTCAACACACCACATGCACCTTCCTAAGAAAGGATATTAAGCTTAATTGTGAAAATACCAAAATAACAATAATTGCCCCACTAATTCAGAAGCATAAAAAATTACCAGAAGTGCTATCAAAATTACTGAAGTATGCATAGCTCCCACAACAGCAAAAATGCCACATAACTAACAGGCTATTAGACAATTCAGAAATTCCAACCATTTCACATACTATGTCTAGCATATGGTTTTCTCTTTGAAGATATAAAAAGCTTGTTTACAGATAAAAAAATTTTCAAAGAATAGAAAAGTATTCTGCCAAAATTAAATAAGCAAGAAACAAATCTAGGTATTAAAAGGAGTTCTTTCTTAGTGAAATGTTGCAGGGCTGTAACAGTTGTGCAACTGCTCATATTAGCAACAAAGACTATCTTACTAAATGTATGGCCTGTGCAGCTAATTGATGTATGATCACCCTAAAGATACCGACAGAGCAAGTCCATCATTAAAATTCATATTTAAGGGCTTACCCTCCAAACCACCAACAGTTAAAGGTCACAGCAGTGGAAGAGGTGCCTGATAAGGTAAGACTTTGCTACTCCCCACAGAGCAGTCACCAACACCACCAAAGCTTTCAGCTACCTCACCTTCTTTCATGCTTTGTTCCTATGACCCTCAGTGCTCTCTCGCTGTACATCTGTGCTGAACTAACCTTGCTGCACATGGTGCAGGTTTTTTTCCTCTCCCAGAGCGAACCACTGCCACTCCCAAACTGTCAACGCAAAGGAGGACACATCCCATGCTTTTGTGGTGCTGTCAGCATGCAGCTTCTGTTGAAGGCCTACTGCTATATTTTTAATCTCCTCCTCTAGGATAGCAGTTTCATTAAAGCGCAACTGAAAGTTTAGAATAAAGCATTCTGACTTTTCCTGAGAATTTTAAACACCATGACAGCATGCCCCCAAGGCCTACCTTTTGCATGCTGACAGAATCATGCTGATGCATTTAGAATAAATGATTAAATTTAATTCAGTATCAAGTATTTTGTTTGGCTGGGTTTTTTTTAATGCCCTACAAAAAAAAAAATCCTCACTCCTCTGTTTTATTTCATTGAACCCTAAATGGTCTCCTTAAGGTCTTCTCATCACACAGTGGTAGGTTTTTAGGTTTTTTAAGAGTATGCATGTCAAACAATTCAAGAAAAGCATTTTTTAAGAAACTACCAAAATACTTAAAGCAAGTATTTATTTCCTTAAAAGTCACACCACTCCAAATGGGCATTCTGAGGGCCAAGGAACCTGCAGCCTCGCTTGAGCACTCACATCATTTGGCAGGCAGTGCAGTACAGGATGCATCCTTATTATTGTCCTTGGTGCTTTTGTTGTCCAGCTGGCTTGGTGAAGGCTACTTACAGTCACACACCCGCCAGCAATTTTTAACCGCCTCACCCAGACCCCCGCGGCAAAAATTTAGTTTTTGGGGAGAAATACAAGCACTTGTCTTGCAAGGGGAACGAGCCCGGGCGCAGCTTTGTGATCGGACCCGCACCTGCGGGCTGCGGCAGGGACGGACCCGCCGGGGCCCGAAGCACGGCCACGGCATGCGGGCACAGCACGGCTCAACCCGCGCACACAGCGTCCGCAGCCCCCGCACTTCTCTCCCAAGCGGGTTTTGTTCGCCCTTAGCTGGAAGCGGTTCCACGGCACAGGGCCTTCCCGGCCTCCCCCCGCACCCCGGGGCGGCCGCGGGCGCTCCCTCCCTACCTGTCTCGTCCTCGTCGATGCGCAGAGCCATGGAGATGCACTCGAAGGCCCGCTTGTGGCACGCCCGCACCGTCTCGGGCGCCCCGCCGGGCTCGGGCGCGTCGCCGGCCCCGGCCCTGCTGCCCTTGGCGGCCATGAGGGCGCCGCGGGAGAGGCGCTCGCAGAGCCAGGCGAAGAGCAGCCCGAGCTGGAAGGCGACGAAGCGGAGCAGGGCGAAGGCGGCGAAGAGCGGGTACGAGAAGTAGTACAGGTTCCGCTTGTGCGGGGACGCCGCCGCCGCCGCCCCCGCCGGCGGCACGGGGGGCGCCGGCCCGGGCGGCGAGGAGGGAGAGGGGCCGGCGGTCGGAGGCGCGGAACTGGAGCCGGCTGAGCCCTTCTTCTTCCCTCGGCCGCCCGGAGAATTCATTCACCGCCGTCGCCATAACCCGCTGCCAGGGACTGACAACAACCGGCCATGGCGATGGTGGCGGCGGCGACGCCCCTTTCGGCCGGCCCAGGGGGAGGGACGGAGGGCGGGATGCGGGCGGCCCCGGCCCGGAGCGCTGGCACCGCCCCCGCCGCCATGGGAGGGGAGGGGATGGCGCCCACAGCGCCCGGCCTGCCCCGCCCACGGCCCGAGGGACGCGCTCTCGGGCACGGGAAAGCAGGGAACCACAGAATCAGTGTGGTCGGAAAAGCCCTCTGAGGCCATCGAGTCTAGCCTTGGACTGATATAAAACTGGACCATAGCACTAAGCACCGCGTCCGGACGGGCCTTGAACATGATCGGGGACGGTGACTTGTACCACCACCTCGGGCAGCCCATTGCCGTGTTAAACAACCCTTTCTGGAAGAAATTCCTCCTAGTGTCCAACGTGGAGCACCGCTGGCGCAGCCCGAGGAAATGTGCCCTTGTGCGGTTGCCCGGGAGAAGAGGCGGGCTCCCAGCGGGCTCAGGCTCCTTCCGGGAGCTTGCCGGGAGCGCAGCCCCACAGTGGGAGCCGCAGCCCGCTGCAGCCTGGCCGAGCCCGCTCCGTGCCGGCCCCTCCGACGCGCCGAGCGGACGGGCGATGAATAATTTAACAGGATTAATGATTCGGACTGGGGCTGTGAGCCGGCCCGCAGGCACAATGCAGCGCAGGCTCCTGGCGCCGCTCCCGCGTGCAGTGCTTGCTAGTGGCACACAGGCAGAGCCCGGGGAATTCCCTGGCACGGAGCAGCCAGTCCCCGGCCGTGTCCCTGCTCCCGCCGCCCCGGAGCTGCCCCCGGGGGTGTGCTCGGTGCTTTGTCTGCTCCGCAGCTCTGTAATGGCAGTGACAGGCTGTCTCCTCACATGCAGGGAGCTAATGGAATGCACTATACATTATAGATACATCGCTCTGGAAGAAAAAAAAAAAATAAAAAATCTCTACTCCAGTCTCCTTACCAAAAATGAACATGCAGTTGTCCAAGCCCTTCTCAATTATCTGCCCAGCCATAATATTTATTTGTGTTTCACCAAAGAGATAGATCCTCCAGCTCCCTACTCCTTTGGTTATTTCAAACCTTAAAAATGCTTTGGTACCTTTGGTCTGGCAGCCGAGGGGAGGCATCCATGCATCAGCACTTCTGTGCCTGCCGCTGTATTCACCACTTTAGCGAACGCCTCCCTCTCTGCTTCAACATTCCCACCCGTGTGGGTGCATTGTCGTTGTCTGATCTTTCTCACCCTTGTTCTGCTTTGCCACACGCTCTCTGTTCTACAAATAAAATACTGAGTGATCCTAGATTATGGCAGATATCTCCCTGCTGCACCCCTGACCTGCACACAGGAGCTGAGACAGTCCCAGAACTGCAGACAGGTAATTCAGTGCACAAGCAAGTTTCCCCCAGCTTACAGCAAGAAAGAGCAGTTGGTGGGGCGTGTTAATTAAAAGGATATGCCAAACTAAAATCACTACTGTCTGCAGTATTTGAGTCATTCTTCAAAAATGACTATAAAACTACTGGGTTGCTTTTTTGTTTGTTTGTTTGTTTATGCCTCATAAAGTTACTTCTAGTTGCCCCTGGCAATGTGTATTTATTTTCTTAAATGACAGAGTGGAGTGAGGTTTTTTAATGACAGAACAGTACACAGTATACAGTTTTCTTACTGTATAAAATACAGAATGTTATCACATATAAAATAACATACAAACATACAGCAACTATTCATGACCTAGACCATTATTAGACAGAGAACCTATTAGTGCTGAAAAAAATGCAGCGATGTACATCAAGTATTTTTCTTCTGTGTTTTGTGATGATGTACTTCTATTATGAAAATATTATCAAGTATGTTCCAGGCTACTCATGAGAGGAGGAATATTTTTTGTATATGTAACTGTCCTTTAAAAAATCTCTTAATTACTGATATAAAGTTTTAACAGATTTTGTAATACCAAAGAAATTCCAGAAGCTTCAAGCACTGTTAACACTGTTTTTTCACTGTTATTTCATTTCAGACCCAAATCAGCTTCAGCAATGTTATTTTTCGCGAACACCACAGTGACCGGCTCGGGCACCAAGCCGCACTGATTTCGGAGCACATTTCCGCCCCCCAGCACCCCAGGCTGGTCCGGAAGCGAGCGCATCCCGCGGCTCCCATTCCCACAGGCCGCGCCACACGAGCCCGGCCCAGCCCCGGCCGGGGGCGGGCCCGCACGTGGCCGCGGTTGCGGCGCGGCCCCAGCCCGGCCCTGCCCGCGGGCGTCTCGGGGCGCTGTGGCGGGCACGGAGGGACGGGCGGAGGGAAGGGGATGCTCCGGCGTCCCGAGGGGATGAATGCTGTATTTTCTAATCCCAGTACTGCGCTCTTCAGCGGACCTAACGCGAAACTTAAAGGCACTTCTGGGTTCTGCGTGCGGGAGAAACCAGTTCAAGTTTGGCGCGGGGGGGAGCACGGAGCAACTCCCTCTGCTTTCTAGTAATTGTGCCTTGGTAACCATTAGTAACCAAGTGATGCAATATCACTTCGCTCACATGGGCTTCATCTCAGCCTACTGACCAGGTTTTTTATTGCTTGCCTAGATCTTCTTGGACATCCGTCAGATTTCACTTTTCGAATCATGGAGGGAGAACAGATTATGGAGGGACAGCCACAGGTATTACAAGAAATGTTTTATGTTTTTATTGTCTCATATTGTCCTAACCGCAAATGTTCAAATTTTATTATTTTAATTATATTACTATTTTTATAACCATTTTATTACTATTAAATTTTTAAAATTTCAAAAACAAGTGATTGGCGTTTTTCACATGTGCATTATGTTTCACGTGTAAAAGGAGAATTTTAGCTTTGCTAACTATGTGTTATTTTACAGGTTCCAGAAAATCCTCATTCCGAATACGGCCTCACTGAAAATGTAGAGGTAACATAGATTTTATTGCAGTGGAAGTCACATTTATGATTTGGGGAAATAAGTTAACTCCTGAGTCTAATTTCAGAAAATGTAATATTTCAGTGGAGCTAAGCAATACCTGTCCCTGGCGGAAATGGCTGTAAATATATTTTCTGTTGTGCTACTTCCATTGTTCTAAATGGTACTGACGTAGCTAATGAGCCTTTTAATGAGTTGGGGCTTTTTTTGAAGTATCTTATGATTATTATGTGTTCTATTGCTATCTGTGAGACATATATATTATGGCACAAAAAAAGCCATCCACATTAGGCTCAACCTGTGCTGAGTAGACTGGGAGAATCACTTCCTAACTCTATGGCATTTACTTCTTATTAAAGAAAAGCCTTCAGTCTCCCTTTATTATAAGTTTCTACTCTGTGCTAAGCTTTTGCAGATGCTAATTTAAAACATCTGGGACTCATCTCTCCGATAACTGCTTGTCTCTATGCCTCAGCTTCCATGGTTCCTCCAGAACCATAACACATTGGTCCCGTGCCAGTAGATTCATGTACATTGCACTGAATGCATTTGGTTTACTGGCAGTGGGAGGGTGTCACTTTTCAACTACAGTTAATGGTGTAAGATGATTCAACACTTTTTGATCAAAAAGTACCTGGAAGTATTTTGCATATGTTTTCTTCAAACTGTCCATCTATACTTGAGTAGAGCACAAAGTACTTGACTTTAGCAGAGTCCCCTTTGTCAGGCTTCACCTGAATTCCTTGTGCTTTTAGCGTTTTGTGTTAGAAGCACATGTGTACAGGAACCATCCAACTGAGACTTGTTGGTAGTCATTCCTGTCTTAGGTGGTGTAGAGTTCAAATCAGTGAATGCAAAAGCAGAAATAAAAAATTACCAGAATGGATGTCTTCTCTTGTAGAAAACTTACCACTTCTAAACTTTGTTTCCCCAAAACGTAGGAATTTAACAGAAGGTTCCTCTGGATTAGGTTTTTGTGCAAGGAAAAAGATGCACTTAAATATTCTTAAAAGATGTACAGGAATTTTTGCCATTGAATTGCAGAGATGGGTACTTTGCACACACACTTTAAAGTCGATGTGGCTGCTATTACCAATGTTAATTCACTTTTTTTTTTTTTAAATTCAGAGGATAGTAGAAAATGAGAAACTAAATGCTGAGAAAACATCAAAGCAGAAGGTGGATCTTCAGTCATTACCCACACGTGCCTACTTGGATCAGACTGTTGTACCTATCTTGCTACAGGGACTTGCTGTTCTTGCAAAAGAGAGGTAAGATGCTTCTGTGTCCCTTCTGTTCCTAGCAAAGTGCAGCTCTCAAACTTGGGCAGTGCAGCACCTTTCAGGCCTCACACACCAAATATGGTTTTGCTCTTTGTAAGATCCTCATTGTAAAAGGTTTATGAACCCATGAATTGCTGTGATTGACCATGCAAGATGGGTTCCTCACTTAGGCACACACGGCATGACAGGAGTTTTTTTTATTGAATTCATGATCTCCCAGTGAGGTATGCTGCTGTGAAAGTTTTAGAGGGAAAAATGGGAGGGGTTTTGTTACTACTTTTATCACATAATTCACCACAGAGAATTACTTTTATCACATAATTCACCTCAGAAACAAGGCAAGAGGATGTTCTAGTTTTGAAGATTTTTGTAGTGTGGAATTACAAACAGTTCTGCTTAACATTTAAGAGAAGGAAAGACAAATCAGGCATGACATGCATCTTTGTCAGAGATTAAAATACTTTCTAAAGAATGTGGCTGAGCCTGCACTGTCAACAGAGTAAGAAGCAGACTGATGGTTTATCCTCTGGGTAAAGATTATGCTGTTGAGGTGCCCCAGCTCTCTTTACCAGTCAGTGTAGGAAGTTATGCTTCAATAAAAGCAAACAGATGTTCATCTTAATAAAACTAATTTCTAGCCTTTTGGTGTGTCCTCGCTAGTGACAAATCGTGCTGCATGTAACCATCTCTCAAATTGAAATAATACAATCAAAAGCTGGTATAGATGACCACAATTGCATCATGGCACCTACAGTCAGAAAAACCATCAACAGTGTATGAACTTGAAAAGGAGTTGGGAATTGAAACTGCAGTGTACAGACAATTAATTAAGCAAAATTAG